TTTCTTTTATATATTGTTGTTGGGAAAGAAATAATTGATTTTTATGGGAGCAGTTCATCCTTCTCGAATGCAGCATTTAACTCCTTGTTGAACTTTGCTCTTCATATGTGTGGAAAAGATACTCTGGAATATTAGAACTATAATAAAATGCACAATTGACCAACATTTATCGAACTTGAAAATAGTCAGTTCAATCCTCTTATCTTGATAATAAGAATTGTGAAGTTATACAAGAGAATGCTACGACGAGAAAGACAAATCTAATACATAAATTAAGGAGAGGAGCATTGAAGATACTGAAACGGCGAAAGAGAAGCTAAATTTCACCAGTGGTTCCTGTATATTATCTGGTAATGGAGGCAAGATTGTGAATATAAGCATGGTTTTTGAAGATGAAAAGCTATATTTTGCTGATTGCAGCCCGATGAATCACTCAAATTGCCTTGAATATCATCCTATGGGTATGTGTGGGTAGAAAGAAGATATTATTGACAAACACATTAACAACAATGCAATTACAGGATTGTGGTTTCTTTTATTTATGCAAAATGCATGACTGTAGAAAGAAGATTGGTCTGGTTAGAATTAGAAGAGGTGAATCATTCAGACATTCCTTGGCTAATGGTTGACGATTTCAATATTATTAGAAACAACTCAGAAAGGCGTGGAGGCAGACCTAGACAATGAGTGCTATGGAGGATTTTAATCAATTTATTGATAATTGTGGGCTATTGGAAATACTACCAGATGGTGGAGAACCGTATTCTTGGTGTAATGGTCAAACAGGTTGGAATAGGAGTTGGGCAAAATTGGACAGAGCATTGTATGACTCCAACTGTTTGGAACACTTCCCAAATCTTCAAATGAGTTACCTAGCTCGTACCATATCGAACCACGCACCAATGTTGATCTGGTTAGAGACTAATATTGATCGCTATGGCCTTACACCATTTAAATTCCAAAAATTGGACTACACATAAGACATTTAAGGATTGTGTATTAAAAGTATGGGAAGGGAACTTAGGAGGAAGTGGTTTACTGCGCCTAGCTGGAAAACTCTAAAGGTTGAGGACTGCACTACGTATATGGAACAAAGAGGTGTTTGGGTGGACGCAAGAACATATTCAGCGGTTGGAAAGGGAGTTAGAAGAGTTGGATGCCAGCCTATAAGTGGCTCATTCGAAGGAGATTGAGGATGCCTACTTAGCTACAAAAGTAGAACTTGACACTTGGGAAAAGAGAGAAGGAATGCGCCTGAAACAACTAGCAAAGCAAAGGTGGATTGAGAAAGGTAAAGTTAGTAATAAGTTTTTTAAGCAATTTAATGGCAGGACCTTTCATGGGGTCAATGAGATGACACTTCGGGACGACTTGGTGTTTGAAAATCCTATGGCTATCCATCATGCAGCGATTGATTATTTTCAAGATTTATTAGGAGCTAGACCCAGGAGAGATCAACCAGATTTATCAGCCTGGATCCAACAAACCATTTCAAAGGCAGAAAACGAAGAAATTGGGAGGCTACCTACTCCCCAAGAGGTCAAAGAGGCAATTTTTTCTATCCCTACTAACAGTAGCCCTAGTCCTGATGGCTTCGGCTCAGGATTCTATAAATCTTGTTGGGACATTGTGGGTGAAGATGTCGTGAGGCAGTGTGCGATTTCTTTTGGAGGTACAAATATTCCTAGATTTTACTCCTCCTCCTATGTGGTTCTAATTCCCAAAATAGCTTCCCATTCGAGCTTTGACAAGTTCAGATCAATCAGTTTATGTTCAATAATGTACAAGGTATGGATGAAAATTCTGGTAAAGAGAATAGCTTTAATATTACCAAGAATTATTTCTATGGAGCAATGTGCTTTCATCTCGGGGAGATGTATTTTTGATAATATTACTTTATCTCAAGAGATGATTCATTACCTTCACAAGTCGGTAAGAGGTGGTAATGCAGTCCTTAAAGTGGATATTGCCAAAGCATATGACAGCATTGATTATGTACATTTTGAAATCCTTTAGTTTTTCCTCCAAGATTTGTGATATGGTAAAATAGTGTGTTATGACTCCTCGGTATTCTATGGTAATGAATGGAACTATGAAGGAATTCTTCAAAGGTGGTAGAGGTCTAAGGCAAGGAGACCCCCTATCCCCATATCTCTTTATCGTGGTTGAAGAAGTTTTATCCAGAATGTTGAGAGCTAAATATGAAGATGGAAGCATAAGATCTTTTTCTTTACCAAGGGAGCTCCCTTAATCTCTCATCTGTTGTATGCTGATGACGTTGTGATATTTGCGAATGGTGGGGAAAAATCTTTGAGAGCTATTAAGGAAGTCTTTCGAAAATATAAAGAATGGGCAGGACAAGTGGTGAGTGTGGATAAAACGTTCATTCTTTTCTCTAAACGGATCACTGTGTCAAGAAGACGGATGCTATTATGACTTATTGGATTCACAGAAGGTAAATTTCCCTTCAAATATTTAGGGGTTCCCATAGTCACAGGAAGACTGAGAGCTCCAGATCTTGAGGATGTGGTAGGAAAAATTCGTATAAGATTGGCAAGTTGGCAAAACGGGCTTTTATCTAAAGGGGCTAGGTTGCTGCTTCTGAGACATGTCCTCACCAGCATGCCTCTACATATGTTTTCTTGTTTTAAAGTTCCAACTTTAGTTATAAAAGTCATCAACAAAATCTTTAGTGATTTCTTCTGGGGATATGCAGATGGAAAGCCTAAGAGGAAATGGGTAGCATGGGACAAAATTTGCATACCTGTTAAAGAAGGTGATGTTGGGCTTTGTAATCTACATGAAGTGCAATTATCCTTACACGTGAAATTTTCTTGGAAATTTTTGATTGAATCAACACTTTGGTCAAAGTTTTTTTCAGCAAAATATATTAAAGACAAACACATATCTTAGGTAGATGCTACTAAAGGATCAAGATTCTGGAAGATGGTTATAAGTTGCATGCCAGATGTTTTTAAAAGATCTAGATGGCTAGTGAAAGAGGGTGGTGTATCATTTTGGTTGGATAGATGGTCGAATATGGATCCTTTGAGTGATCGGATGACGGTGGTCGAACAACCCAAGATCTTGATTAAAGATCTCAAAGCTGACAATGGGTGGAATGAAAGGTTGGTAGAGGAGCTAGTTGGGATAGATCAAGCGGGAGAGGTTCTTGTTAAATTGAGTAAAATTGAGACAGGTAAAGACAAATTGATTTGGACCGAAAGCTTGGATGGATATTTCTCTGCAAAAAATGCTCGGGAAGCTACAAGACGTCATGGGCAGATATCACAGTGGCATGATTGGATTTGGCACCCAACTCTACCAAAGAATATTTCGTTAAATATGTGGCTGGCTATGAAAGGAGGTCTTTCGGTAGATGACAAAATTCGAAATGCTAGTATCCCCATTGTATCAAAGTGTATGTGTTGCTCTCAGGGGGGTATGAGGATCAAGAACACGTATTGGCCTTGGGTGATGTTGCTCAGCAGATTTGGCAGAAAGCTTCATCATTACTGGGAGTTCGATGCATGCAGACTCGAGGATGGAGGGAGCGTGTTGAAACTTGGTTTCGAAGAGCAAAAGAAGCTTCTCATAAAGGTACACTGGTGGGTATTATTCCTAGTATTATTTGTTGGCATTTACGTTTGTGGCAATGTTCAGCCAAGATGGAGGGCAAGATGGAATATATAGAAGTTACTTGGTGGAAAATTACAGTTTGGATCCTTTGGGTGAGGCTAAAACTAAAAGAAGTATGTACGTTCTACAGAAGAGATGAATAGGTATTGAGGGAGCTTAATATACCAGTGAAACCAATTAAAAGAAAAAAAATTAAAGTAGTGAGATGGCAACGACCACTAGAGGGGTGGTTCAAACTCAATACTGATGGGTGTTGCCTGGGCAATCCTGGAATTTGTGGTGCTAGAGGTAATATTCAGAATGAGCGGGGCGACGTTGTCATAACCTTTGCTAAAAAACTTGGTGAGGGTACGAATAATGGTGCTGAGCTATTGGCATTACTACATGGGCTCCGACACGCTAAATGGATGGAGATTAACCGTCTTAAAGTGGAACTAGACTCATTGATTATCGTTAATTGGCTGCGGAGGAAGGTTGGTGGTATTTGGTATTTCGAAGATTACTGGGAAGAAATACAATCCTTGTTGTCTATAATCTCATGTAGAGTTCAACATATATATCGCCAGGACAATTCGGTAGTTGATATCCTATCGAAATTGGGGGCGTCTTATGATTCACAGAGCTGGATGGACTCTATCACAATCCCATCTTCAGTTAAAGGAGCTGTGCGCATGGATAAACTGGGCATCCTCAATTTTCATGATTATTCTCCTCCCAGTTTGACGTTAAATCTTCCAATGTTATTACAAGGAGTTTGGTTTGTTATGATTTTGATGGTGAAATTTATCTTATGTAACTATGGTATTCCTTCGCCACAAGTAAGGATTTATTAATAAAAGTTTTGATTATTTAAAAAGGAAAAATAAAAACAACAACAACAATGTAGTTACACAATTTTTTATGCTGAACTTTGCAGGCATTTTGAAATATATGTCCTTTCACGCATAAGATGTTCAAGGAATGTTTTGTACGCTGAACTGAATAGATTGGACACAGAAAAAATTGATAATGTCGAGTATTGCTTTTTAATTTTTATGGCCCTTCCTGTGTAAGATGTTAGTGACATGTTTGGTTTGCAGGATGGTGTCAAATTTTGGGCAACTTTTATCCCATCATAAATGTTTGAATCAAACCTTAAATTGATTATAATTGCAGCATTGTTCATAAACACGTTTCCATATAAAGTCACATGAGCACATTAACCCAATATAGTAGATACTAAACGGAAAAATTAAAATTAAAATAAATTTCATTAATTGTATTAACGAAATTAAAATCACATAATCAAGATTTTCAAAGGAAAAAAAGAAAGAAACCCTAGAAGCTGCTATCTGATTTATGTCATCTACGATCAAAGCCAACTACTCAAAAGCCCAAGGATTCTCTGCACGAGCTGCCTTCTCTTCCTCCACTGTGTAGTCATTCTGGATATTGAATTTCTCTCGCACCTCTTCGACTGACCAGTTTTCCATTTGTTTTGCACAAGTATTACACAACACATCCATTAATTCCCTGAAATCAAGATAATTTGCTGCTAAGATCAACTCAAGAAGGTCGTCAAATGGCTTCTTCACAAATTCGACGTCAAACTCCTTTTTCTCCGAATTGGACAACGTAGTCTCAGCATGTTTTTCCATGAACTCTATGACCAAAGCCAGAATTTTGCTATCTACGTTTGCTAACGGAATTGGGTCGGAGACACACCTATCTTCAACCAAATTCTTGATCGTTAGACACTGAACTGCACTAGATTCTTTCACCACAAATTCTTCATTATCGGAGCTTTTCAAAATCAATTTTCTTTCTTCAGAAGAAGACATTGTCTATGTATTTTTTATGAAACTGTAGATAGAAAAAGTTTAGGAGGCACAAATAGTAGAAAGTGAGAAGGTTAAATATACATGGAATTGGCCTTCTCCTTTTAGGGAACTTTTTGAATAGGAAAAGATTTAATAAAATTGTAAATGCAATATAGTGCTTGTTTGGTACGGATTTTAAGTCAATTAAAATTAATATTTTGATCGTTATTTCACTATTTCAGCCGTGAATTCTCCTATCACAAGTAAGACCTATTTTGTCTTTAATGATTAAAAAATTAATTATGAAAATCCCTACCAAACACACAATTAATTTAAATAACAATTAATTTAAATGTTCCTTTTCCTTTTGAGATTATGTTTTAATAATAAAATTATAAATTTCATAAGAATTATGAAAATTACAACAAAAAACGTGGCTAGATTAGAAAATCCTCCTATAGCCGACTTGTGGGGCCTTAGAATTCTTTGAATCATGAAATTACTGTAATGGAATCCATTGGTTTTTACCAGGTTAGCACAGTTGTTTAGAAATAGCCACAAATTGGAGACTAGTCAAAAATAAGACACGTAGGCTAAATAACAATTAGAAGAGACTTCTGGAGTGTTTCAAGCTCACCACAATTTCACTTGGGACCACCCAGAGATTCTGGGAAAAGAAGCGGCCGATTTGAACACTTCTACAAAATTATCTTGATTAGGCACCACAATTACCAAACTAACCTTGGACTGCTATGATATTTCCAAGAAGAATAATGATTCAGTGAAATAATGCGTGAGGTGTCCGTGGTTGAGAATGGAGACGTGAAAGGTTGGGATCTTGTGCTAAAAAAACTTAAGGGTATATTATTAAAATATTGCAAAGATTGGGGTAAATTTGCAAATTTCCCAGATAAATATACAAACACGTACTTCACATTTCGACTAACCATTGCAGATTGTCCCTATATCAAAGCGAGTTGACTGTAGTTAAAATAATCAATAATTCCACAAACTCAGACTCTTCATCTTTGTTGAATTTGTCTTCTTAAGGTGTTCAATATTAGAAATCCTTATTTAATTTTTATTACTTGAAGTGGGTTTTTTTTTTTTAGTTTTTGTGCTTGATTTGATTGATGCAGTGGTACGTGGAGGTGTTGATTGAAGATGGAAACAGCGACTGCTTTTTGGTCTTCTTGCGGCAGCATTTCTTCTTTGCCTGCTAAGCGGGTTGTCCGATCCTGGCCTACACGATCCTATTCCGCCCGGTTGGGATCCAATTCTCTGGCCTCACCCGCTTGGATAAAGGTGATTTTTATTTTTTTTCAGTATTTTTTGTTTACTCCATGAGTTTATATATCAAAGCAATATATGTAATTTAATCAGGGGCGAATTTAAATTTCAAGTTGAGCTGATTTTAATTGGTTTATTATTTTGTCCATAGTTTAAAATTTGGTTTACTTTTGTTTTGTTTTTAAGTTTCTGTTTTGAGATGGCCATTGATAATTAGTTTTGGTTGATTTCACACAGTTATTTGTTGAGAAGCTTGAATCTTAAATGGGAACTTGGGTAGTTGATTGAAATATGAGGAAGGAAGGAAGGAGAAAATTATATTATACTTACCCAAGAAAGAAAGTGTAAAATAATGTTGGAAGGAAATTGGTGTTTAAAACAAAATTCAATGCAACTATAAATTATAAACTATGAAATGAAATCAAGATGTATACGATATACGAGAGAACTTGATAAGCTTCCAATTCTAGAAGAGCCCGGAAGACGAGGGCAGCAACAGATTCTGTTACAAGGGCAAGTGGGGAGGGGAATTAGTTAGGAAATCCTTATAAATAAAGGTAGAAGGGAGGGTAGAAGACAGGCTAGTTATCGAGGTATAGTGAGGTTTAGGAGAGTAGGCTACCAATTACCATTCTTTCTTGCTGTACTTTTTTATTCCATCATTACAGAGGTGTTTTGCCCTTTTTACATATAGAACCTTATCAGAACTCTTCTTTGTTTATATGGTTTTTATTTTCTCATACAAGACATAAATGGTATAGGTTTTTTATCCAGGCTTTTTACACTTGTTGCTTGTGCCTGCTTAATTTGTTAATGAATCAGTTATGAGTATTTAGGTTCTGCACTCACATGCACAAGTCAAAACTTAATTTCATAAAATTTTCAAATATTCTGGTTTGACATTCCTCAGCAGCTAGTAAAGATCCCTTTCGGTAGTCCTTGTACAATTATCAACTTTTAACTAAAGTTGATGTTAACTCTTAACACTGGTGAACTTAAGCTTTTAAGTTTGTTTATCGTCGTGTCTATTTTGTAGTGAGATGGAATACCGAGCATTTTCATAATACAGTTCAACTGATCTTGATTTAAATGGTGGATGGCAGCGGTACACGTCTACCTTTCATGGGAACTTAAGCAAAGGAGGAGTGGGTTTTGGAGGCAAGAAGTGCTATTCTATCCAAGCTTCATTGCATTCTTTTGAATCCGAGGGTTCGGATGCTCCTATTGCTCCACTTCAACTGGAGTCTCCAGTTGGACAATTTCTCTCTGGAATATTAATAAGCCACCCACATCTTGTCCCTGCTGCAGTAGAACAGCAGCTTGAACAGCTTCAATCTAATCGTGAAGCAGAAGAAAAAAGGGAAGAGCCATCTGCATCTGGCACTGACTTAGTTTTATACAGGTCAGTAGTTAGTTGATTGCTTATTAGTTATTACTTTAATTTTAAATACGTTTTTTGAATTAACAATCTCAAAGTAACTTATTAAAAGGTTGAATCATGATTGGCTAAAGAAGTTACTTGAAAGTTAAAAGTAACTTCTAATCTTGGCCAAACATGCTCTTCAAACAGCATGTGCTTGGCCACACTCCAGGGTATGGTTTTGTATTTTGTTTAATCAGTCTTGAAAGATTTAATGTGCACGACCAAATTAATAAAACACAATGAATATGTGAATTCTTTGTGTTCCCTTTACCACCCAAAAATGTTGATTTTGTAGATTACTCATCATTTCTGAAAGTTGTATTATGCTTTCATAGAGTAAAAATTAATTATTTGATGTGCCCTTTCTAATTGTTAGGAGGATTGCTGAGGTGAAAGCCAATGAAAGGAGGAAGGCCTTGGAAGAAATTTTGTATGCCTTGGTGGTGAAAAAATTCATGGATGCTAATGTGACTCTAATTCCTGTTATAACTCGGCAATCCTCAGATGATTTTGGCCGGGTTGATACATGGCCTAACCAAGAAGAGAAGCTTATGCGGATCCACTCGCCCGAAGCTTATGAGATGATCCATAACCATCTTGCTCTCATTCTGGGAAATCGACTTGGTGATTCTAATTCGGTTGCAGAAATAAGCAAACTTAGGGTTGGCCAGGTTTATGCAGCATCTGTGATGTATGGATATTTCCTCAAGCGAGTCGACCAGAGGTTTCAGTTGGAAAAGAAAATAAAAATGCTTCCCCAGGGTATTGAAAATGAAGAAAGCAGTATACAACAAGATGTAGAAGAGGAGATGAGACCTGGTGGTGACTCTTTTAGGACCGATCAATCCCACCCAGAAGTGTCATCGTGGTCTGCTGGTGGCATTAGCCCTGGAGGTTTTGGCCAGGGGATGAAGCCATCCAGATTGCGATCCTATGTGATGTCATTGGACGGGGAGACAATTCAAAAATTTGCAACTATCAGATCTAAGGAGGCGGTTAGCATCATCGAGAAACACACAGAAGCATTATTCGGTCGACCAGAGATTGTTATAACACCTGAAGGAACTATTGATTCTTCGAAAGATGAACTCATCAAGATCAGCTTTGGTGGTCTGAGGAGACTTGTTTTGGAGGCTGTAACATTCGGTTCTTTCCTCTGGGATGTTGAGAGCCATGTTGACTCTAGATACCATTTTGTTGCAAATTAAGCATTATTGACTTTTCCTGGGCAAGGTGAAATTGGCTGCCGTATTGCAGAGAAGTGCTACGTGAGGTGCACTGATTGATATGCACGTAGAGATAATGTTTGGATTCAATGTAATGGTCCTTATTGGTGTGATGTATGCGAAGCACACAATTTCTTGATGCCTTAATAAAACTTAAATGTTTATCTTCAATTTATTGGAGGATTTTCTAAGGTAAGGTGTCCCTCACATCTACCATTTTGTCGAACCTAGGCTTTTACAGAATTTTAACTTGTAGTGGAACAAAATTCAAATTTCAAACTATGAATCTAAAATTTACCATGACTCTCGATTTAGGAAGGTGGCCTTAACTAATTGATTTTACATTCAATTTACGACTAATGTTCGAATTGAATTCTAATTATACATGAGTTTGATCAATTGAGCTACTCAGGTGTGACTAATATACCCAATTGTATCATATGACTTGGACTATTGAGACTATAACCAACACAGTTCATCGAATTGTCTTAGGTAATTGAATGTAATGTAAGCAAAATAAACATTATCCATCCTACACAATTTACAAATGCGGATAGCCTGTCCAGTTTATATTAATAGTACTAGTTACACATGAGTTTGATGAGTCGAGATACTCGAGTTTGATTAAAATGTTCGATCGTACCTAACGGAAATTATGATGAACACACTATTCACCTTGGCTAATTGAATGTAATCAAAACAAAACTAGTAAAATCAACCTGAGCCACCTTACTCAAATATCATGAATGAGTTATCCTATCCAAATTATGGTACTAGTATTCGCTATTGTCAAAACGAGATTAAGAGGTTGTTCGATAGAACTTTTGATAAAAAATTTAGTGGATTATGATAAAATTTGTCAAAATTTGTAATTGAAAAATTGCAAAATTGTAGTCTCTTGAATGCGTGGTTAAAATTCAAGTTTGACCCATAAATAAATTAGTAAAATTTCTCTAAAAAATAACATAACCAATGAAGTGACTATCATTTCGCTCAATGTCATTTGCCACGGGATGATCTCCATTTTATGCATACAACATTATTTTTAAACAAAAAGAAAAACGATCATTTGAAGTTTGAACTTTATTGTTTTCATAAGAATGAACTTTTGAATAATATATTGATAAAAAATGTGTGATTAAAAAATAAGAAAATTTTTTAAATTTGTGTGTAATATTATTTTATTAAAAAATGCTTGATTGAAATAATATCAAAATATTATTTAAAAATCTTTTTTTCAAAGAATGTGGCTCAAACGGGTTTGGCCCCATTATTCTTCTTATTCTTTTTTTCTCTTATTTTCAACCAGATAATCTTTCATAAAATAATATTACATGTAAATAAAAAAAATTCATTCTCTTTCAACCACTTATTTTTTAAAAAAAGTACTATTTCAATTATTAAAAAATTTGGAAAGAGCAGACGCGGGTGCTTAATCTTGCTTTACTCGTATTTATCGCTTTATTTGTACCATCTCTCTTTAGCGTCGAATTTCATGATTGATAACGACAATGCCTTAGGTTATTGATCTTATAAATTTCAAATTCGCCGCATATGCCACGCATATGAAACACGTGGCATCATATTGACCGTCAATTCAACGTTCCTCATCGTGAGCCCTGACGTGATTAACTACCCACATTTCTCTCCCGTTTATTTAGACGTTCCCTGCGAACACTGCATTATCATTTTTCTAGAGAAAATAAGAAGCTTGTAGAGAGAGGAAGAAGAAAAGTTCATCCATAATCATTTCTCAGCCATTCACTTAATAATTATAATTGAAATTTAACCTTTTTTTTTCGATGAAAAAAGTAATTTTTTTGCTAACTTTTTGTTTTCCTGTGATTTCATACTATTTTTAGGACACTCCATTTTAGAAATGAGCAGTGAGTTAGTGGGTGGTACTTGTGGATCCAAGAATTGCGTGGATAAAGAGTGGTTATTATTATAAACAATTTATAAACGTTAGCCAAATGTGGCTTACAAATCCGTTTCAATAGTTGCGTAGATATGTTATTCGTTATATTTTGTAAACATTAGCGGAACATTGGCTCACCTCTCTGTTTTCGTAGTTGAGCAGATTTGCTATTCGAAATCTTTACTTCTCTTTCCAAGTTTTATTGTTGGATCGAAGACTGATTATATTTTTGTTATCATGTGTAGGGGACTTCTTGTTATTATGCATGGCCTAAATGAACACAGGTTTGTAAGCAAAATGCACATATTCATTTCAGATTCTGATGCAATTTTGGTTTATTCTTTACCTTTATGGCTCTTTTTTTTTATTTTTATTTTTGCTCACATAGGCATCCTTTTTCTTTTTCTTTTTCTTTCTTTCTTTTTTTTTTGGAACATCAGTGGCAGATACAGCAATTTTGCTAAGCAGCTCAATGGATATGGCATCAAGGTTTATGCAATGGATTGGATTGGTAAGTTAAGAATCGTTTTATAGCAGAATAAATTTTCATGCTTGCAGAAAATAATTTTTATCAGTTAATAACTTGAAAGTGGTTTAGTAGATTGTACTCCATGTAAAAAATCTAAGGGCACGTTAGTATACAGTAATAGATCGGACTTGATCATACAATATACAGAACTTTGACTTCATTTCCCTTCTTAATGCTGTCTAGTCCTCCTTACTGGACATATATAACAGTTGATGCTTGACTATATTCCTGCACTTCAAAGTCTACACGTTAATCAGCGGCTGATTTAGGGGGGTTGCCCTAGCCAACTCCAATCCAATAACATTTTGTCCCATGTAATTTTTTAAATATATATCTAGGCCTGTACAAAAAATTTTTTAGTCCGCATCTGATTCTGCCTCTGATGACAATACAATACAAAACCAAGTTGAATATGTCTCACAATTGGTTCCATTGTTCTTGGTGGACATTTGTTTGTATGTCTTGAGCCTAGTTCTCATCTGTTAAGTTCAAGGTCTACAGTTTTTTCTTTATAGAAAAAGATTATGGGTAAAATGGTATTTTTTAAGATCAAGTTTGCTAACAATTTAGGCGGATAGAAGGCTGAATGATTATATTTTCTAGTTATATAATTATTAGAAGTAATAGCTAACTTCTACTCCAGTCTATGATCCTTTACTGCTAACTCTATCATATAAACATAGACAATGGTCTATTTCACCACGAGTGTTTCTTCTCTCTCTCTCAATATACTCGTCAACTGAAATATACGGATTCTGAACATTGTTATACGCTGTCTGCATTTGCACATTGATGTCCGAATGGACAGAAAATGTAGCATGCAAGGAAAATCTAGTTTATGCAACTTTCCAGTCAATTTCCGATCCTTTAGAAACAACCTGATGTTTGCATCATTCATCCTTTGAATGATCATTCACAAATAAAACCCCCTTTTGTTTTCTATTTTGTGGAATAGATACCATATATAGTCAACTATGCATGTATATTTGGATGTTGCAGGGCTTGAATGTATTTCAATCTGGATGCTATTGGTGCAAAAAAGTAACATGTGAAGCACTCCTTCATAAGTAAGCTTGTTTTTTGAGTCTTTACATCTACCTAGTGTATGCACAAAAGGTAGACGAAGGAGCAGTTGTGATTTGTAATCCAAATCTCTCCGTGTTTTTTTGGCAGACGCATGAAGTCTGTTTGAAAACCTCGTTCCTTAAAAAAAATTTTAAACCATGAAAGTCGGTAAAATGAACTCTTCAGCACCCTGCCTCGGTTTTAGGACTGATATATACTCTATATTTGTGATCATTGATGAATTTGTTGGCCTATGAATTTCTCGTGCCCAAAAAGAATATGGTAAAGTAAATTTTTCTACCTTCTCAATGACAATAAGATGAACCGTGAATATAACATCTTGCAAGAACTTCCACCTGAAAAATTGCATTTATCTCCTTCAACCAAATGTTTAGAATTCAAAAATATTCTTTTCATTGACTCAATACCTTACCTTATCCCAGGACACGGTGGAAGTGATGGACTGCACGCGTACGTTCATTCCCTCGATGATGCTGTGACTGACATGGTATATTTTAATACTCATGTATAAGGCACAGATTAAGAACTTAAAGAAAAAAGAAAAAAGAAAAAAGACAAATGGTTGTACATATTACTTGTGTTTATCGTATTTTTGTTATTTGTGCACAGAAAATGTTTCTCAGGAAGGTTTTTACTGAAAATCCAAGACTCTCTTGTTTTTGCTTTGGACATTCGACTGGCGGTGCCATAGTTTTGAAGGTAATATCTGAATAAAAGGGATGAATTTATTGCGTTACTTCACAAATTTTACTTCACAAATTTCGTGTCCCTTAATTTTTAACTTTTATTTTTCGAATATGTAGGCAGTACTTGATCCGAAGGTGAGTGAATGTGTATCAGGCGTCATACTAACTTCACCTGCAGTAGGAGTTCAACCATCCCATCCAATTTTTGCAGTAAGATTCCTTCTCTTTCAACACCTTTTCACCGCCTTTTAGGAAATTTTGAGAATATCATTTACCAAAACCCGATTTTGCTTAATGTAGCTGCTTGCCCCGGTGTTTTCCTTCTTGTTACCGAGATTTCAGTTCAGCGCGGCAAACAAGCAGGGTATTGCAGTTTCTCGAGATCCTGAGGCACTTATAGCCAAGTATTCGGATCCTCTAGTATTCACAGGATCTATCAGGATAAGAACTGGATATGAAATTCTACGAATCACTTCCTACTTGCAAAAGAATTTAAGCTGGATAAGAGTACCATTCTTCGTGCTACATGGAACTGCTGATTCTGTAACCGACCCCAAAGCCTCTGAAAAACTCTATGACGAGGCCTCTTCAAGTGACAAAACGATCAAGCTCTATGAAGGGTGCTTACATGATCTGCTATTTGAACCTGAAAGAGAAGAAATCAAGGATAGCATCATTTCTTGGTTGAACAATAGATTGTGTGGATAAGAGTACCATTCTTCGTGCTACATGGAACTGCTGATTCTGTAACCGACCCCAAAGCCTCTGAAAAACTCTATGACGAGGCCTCTTCAAGTGACAAAACGATCAAGCTCTATGAAGGGTGCTTACATGATCTGCTATTTGAACCTGAAAGAGAAGAAATCAAGGATAGCATCATTTCTTGGTTGAACAATAGATTGTGAAGTAATTGGACAGTCGAGCATGCGATGAAGAAAAAAAAAATCATCTATTCCAGCAGGTTTAGGTGATTTTGATTGCTAGAATTTTATTGACTTGCTACTGGGAGGCTTCTATAAAATAAATTGAGCTTGGAATTTGTCTTGGTAAATAAGGTTGTTCACATTAAATTCAAGACTGAAACGCTCTGCTAGTATGATCAAATCAGTTATGTATGTTTTTCTGATATTCTTGCATTCACAAGGCTTCTCAGTTATTAGAGATCAAGAAAGCTTGTTATGAAAAATCTCTTGCTTTCAAGTCTAAACTTGAATAAGTTTTTTTCATTGTTCAACAAGGCTCAAGTCATTGTATTATCTTGGAAACTTGAAATTTAAAGTTCTAAACAACATAGAACTCTTCAAAGTATATGGTCAAATTTATGATATGTGGTTATATTTGAAATTTGACTTTCTTTAACCAATTGATATCAATCAAGTAATATATACAATCCTTATACTTCAGTTATGGCCCCGTTTGATACACATTAATGTAAAAATGAGAATGAAAAATATAGTTGTTACGGGTCCCACACAAGAAATAGAAAGTCAAATATGATTGCTCGATGTGATGGATAACTGTCATATTTTTCATTTTAATGGGCAAAAAATAGGAAACAAACAGAGACTTTATGTATGATTAAGTTCTTGAACCTTTTTAGTGTTACAAAAGGGAACCAATAGAATCCATATAATCAAGTTATAATAATTGAAAACAGATTATTTGAAATGATCTATCCAATTGATTAAGGTTTATTCCTCTAAATGTCCAATATAGACCCTGAACTATATCAAAGTTACTAAAGGGAACCAATAGAACGTATATAATCAAGCTATAATAATTGAACACAAATTGTTTGAAATGATCTATCTAGTTAATAGTTTGGACTTATTCCGTTAACTATGCAAGATAGACCTTTTGAAATGTAATTAACTGGACTTATTCCGCTAAATGTCCAAGATAGACCTTGTGTAATATATAAAATCATAAAGATAATACTATTTAAATTTCCTACAATTAAAGTCCTTGTCGAACATCAAATAAATAATATTGGGCCAAATTGAAAGTCTTACCACTACTAATTATTATTATTATTATTATTATTATTATTTTAGCTTAATCTATCACTTTCTTCAATAATTTCTTTGTTATCAAATAGAAAATTAATTTAATCGTCGTCTGATTTTGAATTTAGATTAAAAATATGTCTTGTTTGAGTCCCATTTTGGCGAAAAAAATGTATTATTGAATAGTAAATCTTGAAAGAATGTGTTGTTAAAAAGTAAGGAAATTTTTTTCGATCACATGTAAAATTATTTTATTGAAAATGAGTTTTGAAAAAGTGAATTTTTGAAAAAAGGGGCACATGTATGCTACCCTTTTAACAAAAAGGGGGGAAAATAGAGAGAGAGAAGAAAAGAAGAGAAAATGTTTCAAGTCCTATTATCCAAAAATTCATTTTCAATTACATACTCTTTTAATAAAATAATTTGCACATAAATCAAAACTTTTAATAATTTTTAACTACACATTTTTCAAAAACACACATATTACCAAATCATTATTTGTGTGGAAAAAAATGAGGCTCAAACAGGCTAAGGACTTGTTTGAGCTGAGCCCGTTAAATTGGAAAAATGTACTTTGGTACTGAGAATTTGAGAAATGTGTGGTTAAAAAGAATAGAAAGAAAAAAGTATTTTTGAAAAAAAATGGAATCAAACGGGGCTCAATAATCTCGTCTAAGTTTTCAACAGCGATTATAGAACAAAATACAGAAAGTGGGTTGTCCTTATATTTTATTGTTCGGACAGGCAAATCCATCGACAATTGTCGTCATCCCGCAGGTGACTTCCTACAGAAGCCACACAGTCCTATTCTCATACCAAACACCCTCTCCCTATAAGTCTCTCTCTCTAAAATGGGTTTTCTAATGCACTTGTAGGTTACTAATTCAAGACTTTCGCCCACATTAATCATGGCTTTTCTTGGCAAGAAACTCATCAACGATCCTAATGGTAATTTTAATTCTTCATTTACAGTTCCCCAATTTCATGGGGTTTTGGAAATTTTTAGGGTTTTCGTTAACTCGTTGATCTGTTAATTGAATTTTTCGTAAACTCGTTGACCTTTTAATTGAATTGCATTACTCGTTGGTTAGATGAATTCTTACATGAAGATTACTGGAATGTACATTTTGATGCATGATAACGCAAAATAATTCTATTTTAGTTCGAGTTATTCTCTTGCTGCCTGAAAATTTGAAAACTGCAGTGCTTTTTTGACTTTATATTTCTCCAGTAGACGCGTTTCTCATGTTGGGAAAAATAGGTACAACCTCTGATGTGAAAGGTACAAAGATTGATACTGCTGTACTATATGCTTTGGAAGTTGTACTGTGCTCTGGTAGGAAGAAACAACTTTCTGACACGTTTTTAGATAATTTTACATGTTCTTGTTGCCTCTCACTGTATGAAGGGAATGACAACCTTAAATTACTGTTGACATATGACTATAGGAATCTGTTTCCTTCCACAATGCACCCCGAAAACCAATATATTTGAAAGTTCGCAATTGAAGTGGGATATGAAAAAAGTTTGCAACTAAAGTGGGATATGAAATTTTGTTGTCTTGTTCTTGGTTGCAGATGTTGTGACTGAGTTCATTGAAGGTCTGGTGGAAACTTATCCTGGGTTGCAGTATTTGGATGGTTTCCCTGAAGTAATTACTCATTTTACAATACTATTTGTTCTCCTCTTATCTGAGTTTATGTTCTTGCATTTAGAACATTTTAATTTGGACTATTCACCAATTTTGCATTCCATTGGATGATGTAGGTTAAGGTTGTTTTACGTGCTGATGTCTCTAGTGCAACATATGACAAAGTTGCAGTCATATCAGGTTGGATAAATGCCTACCTTTTCTATAGATATGACATATAGCATGTGAAAGTTGAAATTTATTAATATTGGGTAAACATTATTCTTGGACATGTTTTTATCGTGCATTATTTTCTAGATCAACCATGATAAGATGATAGTGTGGAAGTAATCTTGGAAATTGTGATTGTGAGATGATATCAGTTCAAATTATTATTTTGTTTTTCACTCTCTGCAGTTGTAACTTGTAACTAATTTATTGACAATTGTGTCGCATTAAAGGATTTTCATATAATGGTCTCTTAAACAATCTTTTAGCCAAGCTGTGTAAATTTTCGAAGGCTGGTAAATGGCATATGGGAATTAGGAATCTTTTGGCTGTTCCGAGTGAATGCATACCCGATAAATTCTACCAGGACAAAAGTCCTGCCGAAATGATGTTCTTTGAAAATGTATAATGGGCCTCAGCTTTAATTTTGGCTTCACTATGATTGGCAATCCATATTCATACTTTCTTAGAACTCTTGGGTTCTGTTTCATCTTTTGTAACGTACAAGTCAAAGGTTAGCATTTAATTGCCTATGTGATTCTGTGGCCATATATCCCAACAACAATCAGTAACCGTTCTAACCCTTCCAATTCTCTAGTATCAGTTTGTTAACTGGTTCTGTATAGACTAATCAAGGTTAATTACCTCTTGCATGTTGAAATTTATTGGTGCAGGAGGTGGAAGTGGTCACGAGCCTGCTCATGCTGGATTTGTTGGAGAAGGGATGCTGACAGCAGCAATCTGTGGGGATGTTTTTGCCTCTCCTCCCATTGATTCAATTCTTGCTGTATGATAACTTGCTAATTAATCTGATAGGCGAACACGCTCCTCTTCTTGATCTCATTTTTGGTTTCCTTTTGTGTTCATTTTTTAAATGATCAAACTGACTGTATTTACTTCAGGGCATACGGGCTGTAACTGGTCCTATGGGATGTCTCCTGATTGTGAAGGTACCATTAGACTGTTTACATAAATCGTTGCCATTCTAAATACATACTATTTGGTTTTGATCCTGTGCCTATACATAGAGAGTGTGAAAGCCAGCATTATTCTTAGGATCAATTACATTACAATTTGTTACCATATATATAAAATCACATAAACACGTGGAGATATTGTATATAATCCATTTCTGAATTTTATCTTCTCAAGGATTACGTTTACATTAATCCTGGCAGAATTACACTGGCGATCGACTAAATTTTGGCTTGGCTGCTGAGCAAGCTAAATCTGAAGGTTACAAAGTGGAGGTATGTACTCATGTGAACTTTTATTCAAAATTGTATCTTATAGCAAAAGAGAGCATATAGGAATATGAGTGCTTCTAATGTTAATATGCTTCATGCTTTTATGTTTATAGATGGTAATTGTTGGTGATGATTGTGCTCTACCACCTCCTAGAGGCATAGCTGGACGAAGAGGTTTAGCTGGGACTATTCTAGTTCATAAGGTTGATCCAATCTCTCACTTCTAACACTCCGCTAATGCTCTCTCTCGTGGCTTGTAAAACTAAATTTAGACCTGATGATACCAATCTTTGATATTGTTTTGATTTATTAGTACTAGAAAGCATCTTAGAAAATTTGGCTATTATATGTTGGGAAATGATTTTTCTTCTTGTTGTCGATAAGGCCCTGTTTGACACCTATTATTTCAAAAATTAAAGAGTTTTGAATAGTATTTTTGGAGAATGTGTGGTCAAAGAGTAAAGAAACCTTATTGGTTTGTGTGTAGAATACTTTATTGTGTGAATGTGTGACGGAGAATGATACTGTAGCAAACGATTTAAATTTTTAAAGGTTGTCAAACAGGGGCTAAGTTCATATATGATGCAACTAATGATGCTGATTTTCCACCACATTTTTTGATTCTTTTTTTCCCCCCCTTTTTTTTTTTTTTTTTTTTGGTGATATTCTGACAGTATCTTCTTTTGTCAATCACAGGTTGCTGGAGCAGCAGCAGCTTGTGGTCTTTCTCTTGGTGAAGTGTCTGCTGAAGCACAACGTGCATCAGAATTGGTTGGCACAATGGGTGTTGCATTATCAGTTTGTACATTGCCAGGTCAAGTCACGTCAGATCGTTTAGGTCCAGGAAAGATTGAGCTTGGTCTTGGAATAGTAAGGAATTTACTTAATGTTCTTCTCTATTCAATGGATGTAAATCCATGGGTTAGATAACAATCACTCCGTGACAGTGCATGCAACATTATGATTATGATGCAGTGTGTAACACTTGTTTCCTGACTTTTATCATTTCTTATAGTGACTTAATTGATCTATTACAAGGAAAAATATTTAATCTTCAGAAATCAATATGTTTCAATGTGAATTTCGGAATCTTTAACTGGAATTATCTTTACACTTTAAGCACATGAAGTTTTCCTCTCCCTTGACTATGATGGGATCCCTAGTATTGTACTCACGAGAATAAATTTTTGCTACGGAATAACTGCTTCATAAACTATAGTTAGTTTACCAAATTAACTAACTAATTATAATTTAAACTTTCCCAAAAATGGTCTAATCCTACTAAACTGAATGATATCTAAGTCAAACTTTTAGAAATATCTGGTCGTGTGATAGTAAGATAATTCAACTTTCCAACCAAACGACGATATTTTCGTGGTTCTGCAAATGATTCTCTTTCATCCTTCAAAAGCACATTAGGATTCATAGGGGTATCAATTGGATGAGCTCCAAGAAAACCTGTCTCATCTAACAGGTCAAATACATATTTTCTTTATGACAAGTTGATACCTACCTGTGACGTAGCAACTTCAATACCCAAGAAATATCGGAGCTTGCCCAGATCTTTAGTTTGAAAATGTTTTTATAGAAACTGTTTCAATTGGGCAATCCGATTTGCATTATCAATGGTGATTACAATATCATCTACATGAACTATAAGGATAACATAGCTTGTACCAGTCTGTAGATGAAATATTGAATGATCTGTCTTACACCTTTGAAGGCCAAATTCCAGAACAACCTTAGAAAACTTCCCAAATCATGCGCTCGATGGTTGCGTTAGCCAATAACAATGCCTTTTCCTACTTACAAACATAATTTTGGTATTCCCTTTGAGCAACAAATCCAGATAGTTGCTCCATGTAAACCTCTTCATGTAAATCACCATGAAGTATTGCATTTTTAATATCCAATTGAAATAGTGGCCAACTAAAGTTTGTAGCAATAGACATCAAAACGCGAATGGAAGAGATCTTTGCAATGGGAGAGAATGTTACTTCATAATCAATGCCATAGGTCTATGTGTAATCTTTAGCAACTAATCGGGCCTTTAAGCGATCAACAATCCCATTAGGATTAAATTTGGAAACAAAGACCCATGTATTATCAACAGGATGTATTCCAGGTGGTAAACAAACGAGATCCCAAGTCTTATTCTCGTGCAAGGCTTCAACTTCCAATTCCATCGCCTGTCGCCACCCAGGATCAAATAAAGCCTCTATTTGGCCTCCATTCCATTCCATTTCATTTTTCTCTCTCATATTTTCAACCACACAGTCTTATATAAAATAATGTTATACGTAAATCAAAAAATTTTCTTTATTTTTCAACCACTCATTTTACAAGAAAACACTTTTCTATTCATTTCATTTCCAAAGAAATGGGGGCCAAATGGGGGCAAAGCTTCGTCAGTCTTTGGAACAAAAACACTAGCAAGCTGGGATGCTAAATAGAAAATGAAGGTGACAACTTATAAGTATATTTTATACACTTATTCGAGGCCTTTAAACGATAATATTTAGTGTTTTTCTGATAAATTATGGTCTAAATTGTTGCAATTGATATTGAATAAGTAAAAGTCAATATTGGTATAAGAAAGTGGAAGAAACGAGAGGAAAACCTAGAAAAATAGAGAAATCCAAAAGTTGGGGACCAAGTTGTAGCAATTCAATAGTTGATCTGGACTATGAATCGAAAATTGAAATGTTTGGAGGTCAAATTGAATATTTTGGAAGGTGAAGGACTTGAATTGAATCAAAGAAGGCATGAGTTGCAAGAATAAAAGGATTCAAGGATTGAATTACATTATCTTGAAGATGGAGGACTTAAAGAATAATTTAACTATTAATGGCTTCAATTGGTGGCTGATTTGACCCCTATATGCATGCATGAATTTTAATTCTTATTAAAGTGGTTGCATTCCTGTTGATAGAAAGAATTAGTCCTTTTTTAGAGTCTTTTTTCTTAGTCAACAATTGTGGCTCTAGGTTTTGATATATAATATATATATACATATCGACGTGAGGAAATCGACAGTTTTTTGGAGCAGCCAATATCATAGAATACATGCACAAAAATCGAAGCTAGAAAAAAAATCCCATTTTCTTTAGTCAAATTTGGTGGCTGTGAAATATTTTCTTGAGAGATACACGTACAAACAGAAATTGAGGTTGCCAGAATTTCAGAGACGTATGTTGGGAATTTCTTTTCTGCCATTAATATTCACACGCACAGAAACCAAGAGAGAGAGGAGGAGATTGACATGGACGGTAACATGAGGAAAAATGCAGATTTACTTTGCAAATTATTCACGTTCCGTCAATTAATCGGGTGATGAATTTTTTGATAATATCTTGTTTTTCCTCCATTAATTTGCGTAGCTAAATTTAATTTTAGGCCGACCAATGTAATTTATTTGAGACCTTTATTTCTTTTATTTGAGATTCTCGTTCTTTTATATCTCATGTGTGGATTTTAATTATATTTTTAATATTTTGAATTTTTTGGTCAATTATTCAATGATTTCGTGAACAATAATTACGTAGACATGCGGATTCTTGTTTTGCCCACATATTAAAATTCGGTAAATTAATATAACGTGTAGAGATATCTATATTAATTGTTGCGGTTCTATAGAAATTCTTAGAACTGTTATTTCGTTTAATTAAATTTAATTTGCATAGAGATATGAAATCGAACTAATTAAATAGGCTCAACGAGAACTCGAGAGGGGTAAGTTGAATACAATAGAAGAATTCGACCGAACACTACTTTAGTTTTATGAATTTCGATATTAGAAATAATATGAAAAATTGAGGACTTGAGGGGTAATATTACATTTGAAGGCTTTGAATTGAAGTCAAAGATGGTGGCTATAGAGTTGTATTATATATAAATTCACGCAGGAGGCTGGGAGTCTTTTTTGGAAAAAAATTAGAGTCCCTCTTTTTTGGAGAAAAAAATTAGAGTCCTTTTTAGAATCAAAATTGTAGCTGGTAGGTTATATATATGTGTGTGTGTGTGCACAGAAAATGGAGAGGAGGGAGGCAGCCAATTTGATTTATTTCATGCAAAATTTGGGGGTTGCAATTTTTATCAGAGACATGCAGGAGAGAGGGGGCAGACAATATCATATATGCACGCACGGAAATCGGAGCAGCAAAAGAAATCCCTTTTCTTTTGTCAAACTTGGTGGCTGCTATTTTTTTTTTGGAGAGATATACGTACGGGCAGAGAGGAATTGGAGGCAGCCAATTTGATATTTTTTGCACACACTTTGAGGCCGCAGATGGAGAGAGAAATAGAAGGAAGCTGTTGGAGGAAATACCCGCAAAAACCAACTGCAGATTCACGTTGCAAAAAATTATTCATGAAAAACTTGTTGTCGATTTTATCCCGCAAGTGAACGGATCGTAACAAGTAGTAAAGTAGACCTTTTGAGTCCGGATTATCGTTCCCACGAGAACTATATTTTAGTACTCAATTTATTATTACTAACTTCTATTTAATGAAAATAAATACATAAATAAATAATAATAATTGAATGTGATTTTTAAATCTAACCACAAAAAATTTCGTGAATGCAACAAAAAATGAGTGAAAATTCAAATAATAAATGGAGATTAGGGTGGACCAAATTCACCTACTGTTCACCTTTATTTCTAATATCGAGATTAATAAAACTAAAGTAGTGTTCGGTTGAATTCTTCTATTGTATTCAACTTACCCTTCTCGAGTTCTCGTTGAACGTATTTAATTAGTTCAATTCCGTATCTCTATGCAAATTAAATTTAATAAAACGAAATAACAGTTCTAAAAATTTATATAGGTCCGCAACAATTAATATATGTATCTCTACACGTTATATTAATTTACTGAATTTTAATATGTGGTCTAAACAAAAATTCGCATCTCTACGTAACTATTGTTCAGAAATCATTGAATAATTGGCCAAAAAATTCAAAGCATTAAAAGCATAATATAAATCTACACAAAATATAAAAGAACGAGAATCTCAAATAAAAGAAAGAAATGTCCCAAATAGATTACATTATTCGCCCTAAAACTAAATTTAGCTACGCATATTAATGGAGGAAAAAGAAGATATTATCAAGAAATTCATCACCTGATTAATTGACGGAACGTGAATAATTTGCAAAGTAAATCTGCCTTTTTCCTCGTGTTATCGTTTGTGTCAATCTCCTCCTTTCTCTCTCGGTTTCTGTACGTGTAAATATTAATGGCAAAAAAAAAATTCTCAATGTACGTGTTTCTGAAATTCTGGCAGCCTCAATTTCTGTTGTACGTGTATATCTCTCAAGAAAATATTTCACAGTCACAAAATTTGACTAAAGAAAAAGGGATTTTTTCTAGCTTCGATTTCTGTACGTGTATTCTATGATATTGGCTGCTGCTCCAAAAAATTGTCGGTTTCCTCGCGTTGATGTGTGTGTGTGTATATATATATATATATATATATATATCAAAACATAGAGTTACAATTGTTGACTAAAAAAAAAAAGATCCTGAAAAAGGACTCTTAATTCTTTTTGTCAACCGGCCTGTAGCCACTTTAATAGGAATTAAAATTCATGCATACACGTAGGGGTCAAATCAGCTATCAATTGAAGTCATTAATAGTTAAATTATTCTTTAAGTCCTCCATCTTTCAAGGTGATGCAATTCAATCCTTGAATCATTTTATTCTTGCAACTCATGTCTTCTTTGATTCAATTCAAGTCCTTCACCTTCCAAAATATTCAATTTGACCTCCAAACATTTCAATCTTCGATTCATGGTCCAGATCAACTATAGAATTGTTACAACTTTGTCCCCAACTTTTGGATTTCGCTCTTTTTCCGGGTTTTCCTCTCATTTCTTCCACTTTCCTGTACCAATATTGACTTTTACCTATTCAACATCAATTGCAACAATTTAGATCATAATTTATTAGAGAAACACTATATATTATCGTTTTAAGGCCTCGAATAAGTGTATAAAATACACTTATCAGTTGTCACCTTCATTTCCTATTTCGCATCCCAGCTTGCTAGTGTTTTTGTTCCCAAGACTGACATAAGCTTTGCCCCCATTTGGCCCCCATTTCTTTGGAAATGGAATAGTGTTTTTTTGATTGATCTATCAGGCAGTTGCAAAGAGATGGTTGTAGGTTTTGTCTCCCCTAAATCACATAAAGAATGCTCAAAATAGTTAGACTCAATTGTGCAAGGTATAGTGAAACTCCTTGGGTCTTTTAGTTTAAGAGGCAGCTTTTTCAATAGAATTGCACTACACTCCTCGTTTAGACAGACAGTCTCATGTTCTTCTAGCTTCCTTTTGTTAGACATGATCTCTTTCAAGAATTTTGCATAGCTGGGCTATTATATCTGCAAAGAGAATATTGATGTGCAATTTCTTGAAAATCTCCACAAATTTGGCAAACTGCTTGTCCAACTTCTCTCTCTGTAACCTTTGAGAGAAGGGAATTGGTGGCACATAAGCTTTCACGGGGCTGGGTGCTCACTGTGGGTGTTTCTTTCCTTTTATCGTCCTCGTTAGTTGGTTGTTCAAACTCTGCTTCTATCTCAGACTCTTTACCCATTACTTCTTTGTCTTTTTCGTCTGGTCTCTTCACATATATTTCTGGAAGTTGTACCCCATTTCTAGTTGTAATAGTTTGCACTTGCTCTTTTGGATTGATCATTGTGTTGCCGGGTAATGTCCCTTGTGGGGGTTCTACAAGCTGTTGCGCTATCTTACCAATTTGAGTTTCCAGTTTCTTAATGGATGCTTGCTGATTCTGAAAGTTAGTGTCAATCTGCTGGAACACCTTGTCTGTCTTCTGCATGTACTGGTTGAACATCTTCCCTAAACTTGATTTTTTTTCTCTTGTTGTGCATTGTTTGAACTATTCCCTTGCTGATTATTCGACCATCTGAAATTTGGGTGTTGTCTCCATCCCGGGTTGTATGTTTGTGAAAAGCTAATAAAATTTTGAGAGCCATTTTGAATGAAGTTGACTTTTTCCTCCAGAAAGCCCATAGATGTGCAATTTTCTGTTAGGTGATTTGCCCTCGCAGTTTTTCACAGGATGGGTCAGTTATCACTACATGTGCTCCCTTTGTTTGTGACTTTACCAATAACCCTACCTATTTTGTTAATGCTGCTATTTGGGCATTGGTAGATGTTGTGCTATCCAATTCATATATTCTCGCTATTTTGGAGGCACCACTCTTTCTAACAAAAACATAGAGTGAGTAGTAGCAATCAACTCAAACAGATCCATACATTGTTGCACTGATTTTACTATGATCGATTCGCCTGCAGAGGAGTCCACTTGAGATTTGGACAGTGGTGAAAGTCTCGTGTAGAAATACTGCACTTGATTTCCAATAGCGATCCCATGATTTGGACACTTCCTCATCAACTCCTTAAATCTGTGATAGCTTTCCCCATCTTTCTGTTGAAAAGTTTGAATTTTCAGTCTGATTTTTGCTGCTTTAGTTGGTGGAAAGAACTTATTACAGAATTTCTTGGCCAGTTCCTCCCATGTGGTAATACTTTCATCAGGTTCGGCATCTATCCATTCCAATGCTGCATCTTTTAATGTATATGGAAATAATCGCAGCTTGATGGCGTCCTCATTAAAGAGCATGACAATTCCTGAGAAATCTGGAGATATGTTTGTTTGGATTCTCATGGGGTAGCCCGTAGAATTGCAAAATGTTACTCATCAAATTAATCCAATCGGAAGTTGTTTACCCCAAAATCTGGATATACTATGCTTGACCGCGTGGGTGCTGCTATAAGCGTTAAGAACATAGACACCGGTAAGTCCTCTTCATTTGCTTCCCTTTGATCTTGCTGTTGATCTCTTGCGATCATTTGTCTAATTAGCGGTATAGGGATAGGGTTGTTTAGATTGTTAGCCATTTAATGTTGCTGTTTTTGTTTGTGTTCCCTGCGCCTTCGTTTGAAGGTACGTTATATTTCTGAATCATACGGTTTAAGATCGTCGCCTTGAGCACAAAGTATACAACAAACACAATTTTCTGTAAATAAAATAAAATAAAATAAGCAAATCAAATAAAAATTAAAAATAAGATTAAAAAAATAATAAAATAAATTAAAACTAAAAGTAATAGTTCCCGGCAACGGCGTCAAAAATTTGTTGTCGATTTTATCCCTTAAGTGGACGGATCGTAACAAGTAGTAAAGTGGACCATTTGAGTCCGAATTATCGTTCCCACGAGAACTATATTTTAGTACTCAATTTATTATTCCTAACTTCTATTTAATGAAAATAAATAATAATTGAATGTGATTTTTAAATATAACTACTAAAAATTTCGTGAATGCAACAGAAAATAAGTGAAAATTCAAATAATAATGGAGATGAGGGCGGAACAAATTCACCTATTGGTCACCTTTATTTCTAATATCGAGATTCATAAAACTGAAGTAGTGTTCAGTCGAATTCTTCTATTGTATTTAAAAACAATTCAAAAGTGACATAGTGACTTATGGGATGTCTTGTTAGGCAATAACTTTTATCTTTACTAAGAGCAATGGGCAAGGACTCGGGATCAGGACAAATGAAAGATTTAGGATCCGTAGACGGCAAGATGACAGATGGAGTCACAAGCATTGATGACCTAGATCGTCGAGTATAAAGTTGTAAAAAAGGAGATGGTTCCTTATGAGAGGACAACTCTGGTGCAGTAGATGAAGACGGGTCTGATTTTGGAGAAATACCAATTGGTAGATATGGGATGGGTAAGCAAATGGGATCTCGATCAGAGTTGGGAGGTGTTATTATCAAAAAAATAAGATGCTTGTTTGGTAAGGATTTTGATAATTAATTTTTTGGCCGTTAGAGATAAGTGAGAGAATAATTCAAAAATGACTGCTGAAATAGTGAAATAACATTAAAAAAATCGATTTTAATTGGCTTAAAATCTGTACCAAACAAGCTCTAGGTGTGGATTCGTTGAAAGTGACATCTATATTTACAAAGTAGCGTTGTAGAGAAGGATTGTAGAGTGTGATGCTCGGACTTGTCATTCTGGCTGGTATACCCGTGTCGACACGACACGACACGACACGACATAACACGGGTACGGGTATGAGATATGGGGCGGACACGGCCAGAGACGGAACTTGTTGGAACTTGGACGCCGCCATAGCTATTGCAGATTGCAAGAAGCCGTGAATGAAAGGGGTTAAGGAAGGAGAAAGGGTTTTGTTGGAGTATGGGTCCTTTTTAAAAAAAAAGAACATTGGGCTTTTTAAAAAATAATAATAATAATAATAAACTAATCCACTTATCTTTAGTTTTGGACCTTTTTTTTTTTTTTTTAATCACTTGCCTTTGGTTTTGGATGGGCCTTGCAATTGAGTCATTTAGGAGAGATTTTTTTTTTTGAAGATATAAATGTTACTTCAAATATCGCCAAATAAATTTATCTTATTATAAATTATAATATATAAATTGCAATCACATCTACAACAAATGAAAAGATTTTGCTTGTAAATTTATGGGAAAAAAATTGCCACTTATTACAAATTACAATATATAATTTGCCATTTAATTATTATTTAAATTTTTACATGTGAATTTTCTGGAAAAAATTGAAGCTCCAAAGACGTGTCCGAAATTTGGACTCTTTTTAATCATGTCCTCGTATCCTACATTTTAGATTATAAAAGATCCAACACTTGGATATGTCCTCGTACTCGATACCGGTACCCGAGTCCAAGCATCATAGATTGTAGCACGGATATCCTTTATGTGTTTGGTAATAACTAAGGAAAATCAATGTTTTGAAAATCGGATCTGCCGGTTCAACCGGGTTAACTGTGAACAGGTCTCAAATCCGATCTGGTCATTATCAATTAACCGGAAGACAGGAAACCGATAAATAAATTTGTGAACCGGCTAGTTAAATCAGAAATCGGAAACCGGTTGCGGGTTTTTAACTGGTTCTAGAAATATCCTCATTAAAAATCCTTCAACTCCTCTTTTTTTTAAGCTGAGCTCAACAGGAGCAGGCCAGTTCACCTTTCAACCCCTCCCATAACTATTGCTGTTTATAAAAGAAAATTCCCATGAAGTTGATTGTTGATCAACCGATGTGGGACAACTGATTAGTGACTAAAGGATAGCTTGTAAAGTATAATCTCATCATTCACGTATTTTGATAGTCCGATGTGGTATGGGCCTTAGGACAATTGAAAATTGAAATGCTTAAATGTTAATTATTTATTGTATTCTACATTAACATGAATTTAAATCATGACACCAACACACAAACAATTTCAATTGAACAAATCAAATTATTTTGGACATATTAATGATTATTTTTGATATTTTAAAATAAATTATAAGATGAAAAATGTAATTGACAAAAAAGAATTTATATTTATTTTGAAATTAGCAATACTAAAATTAAAAAATATATTTTTGTTATTATATTTTATTGCTTGTGTGTATTTATTTATTTAATTTTGATATCCGGTTCGACCCTTGACCCTTTCTCTTTTTCGGGTCGGTGGCCGAGTCGGTTTTCAAAATATTGAGGAAAATACATTTCATGGAGCGAGAATCAAGCTTGTAATGACTAGGACCAAAGTGATGAACATAACAAATACACTTGAAAACTTTGAGTTACCAACTTTGAGAGGTAATTGAGTATTGTGAAGAGGAGGAAAATAAAAGAGAAAATGGTGATGCACCGTCCAAAATAGAAGATGGCATGCGATTAATTAGATAGTATGCAGTAAGGTCAGCATCACTTCAAAAATGCTTAGGACATGTATATGACAAAGAAGAGTGCTAGTAATTTCTAACAAATGAGGATTTTTGCGATTTGCAATTCCATTTTTTTGTGGAGTATATGCACAAGACATTTGATGAAAAATACCTTTGAAAAAGAGATAGGACGTAAAAGACATGTACATATATTCTTTGACATTATCATACCACAAAATATGAATTTTCTTGTTAAATTGATTTTTAATCAAAATACGAAAAACTTGAAAGATAGAAAGTAGCTCAAAATGATTTTTCATTAAGAACAATCAAGTCATACGCGAATAATCATCCACAAAAGTAACAAAATATTGAAATTTATTAGAAGAAATATTAATTGGTCCCCATACATTAGAATGAGCTATCTCAAATAAACTAGAAGCACGACTAACGGTTCTTAAAGGAAAAGACACATGATGATATTTGCTAAGTTGACATGCTTCACATCTAAGAGATGACACATTACTAAGACTTACAATTTAATGTTTTAAAGTGGAAAGAGAAGGATGATCTAGACGACAATGCCACTACATGGGGGATATAGAAGACTAGAGAGCCAATGGAGAAGAGACTGGTGAAAGATCCAAGTAATACGAGCCACCAATTTTATACCTCTTACCAATCATTCTCTTTATCTTGAGATCCTGAAAAATATACAAGGAATGATAAAATGTTATTGGACATTGAAGAGTTGAGGTATTTCTACTAATAGACAATAACATGTTATTCTAATATTTTTTTTCCTCAACAAATTGAAAGCCTGCTAAGATCAGTTAAATGAAGTCTGATAATTGAATTTGCTAGGAGTGAAATTTACTAAGACGAAGATGGACAAACATTTTCTTGTCCTTATTTGTAACTTGAAAATGGGCTCTTGGTCAGTTATGCTCTATGGGCAAATAAACATAGGACCAGAAAGAATTCAAGGTTGTTGAATCAGTGTGGCTGAGATTGTAATGACCTTATTAACCTCTTTTATTTTAACATGCAAGTGGGAGATATTTTGAAAAACTAACTAAAAGATTTAGAGAGTACTCCAGGTAGACCAACGTAGACTTTAGTGTAGAAATATTCTTTGACCTTTGATAATATTTGAGGGCATTTAGACAAAATAAATATGAGATTGTGGTAACAACAATGACATGATGGTTTGTAGTATAACTAGTTACATTACCTTGAAGATAGCAATTTTGGCCAAAATATTCGAAATCAGCTTTTTTCAAGTCAGCTTACCTAATCAACTTAATTGTCTATTGTTGATAAAAAGCTTCATCACTTGAAATTGAGGAAATTATCAAGCAGAGGACCTTTGAGTTTCAGCTTATTACTATAATATATAGCATCTCTCTTTGCTTCTATTAGATGGATTGCCATGAGGTAGTTACCTGACACAGCAACCTTCTTGAAAACTGTTTTTCATCGATGATCTTATTTGCTTTAGCTTGTTAAACTTTTTAATTTGGTGTTTCATTGCTATTATTTCTGACTTTTCTGAAGGAAACAAACTACGTTCCCATCCGACGTGGAAGTAGGGTTGTTCTCATGATTAATGGGTGAGTTCATATTCTTCATTGGAGTTCTTGGTTCAATTGTACACGAGGATGCTTTCTTTCTGGATATGTAGTATAGCCTGGTGCTTCAGATCTTACTTTTGTCCAAGAAATACAAATTCTTTTGTTATCTCCTCTTTGTTTTAGGATGGTCTGACCAAGGATAAAGAAAGATATTTGAATTGTATTCAATATAGGGTTCATGACCAGAACCTCTCGTATGTATACAAGTCAAAGAAGAAGTTAGCTCTGAAAATTTTTTTCTACATTTGTTTTTATGTTTTAGATGAAGATTAACACGAGTGAAATGATGTGGATCTATCTTTGGCTGGATCTGGATTTTGTAGTGGAATATCTTTGTAATATTTTTGTAAGCTGTTTGTATTGAGAAGAAAAAGGGAGAGGAATTTGACTGATTATACTCTTAAAGAAAATTCATATGTTTATATTAATATTTGAGAAGTTAAAACCTTTATCAGCATTAATGTTTATCCTGAAGTATATGAAGTTAGTTTTTACATATTTTTTTCGTGGTCAAAAGGTTTTTGTCAACTACATACCTTGATTTGAGGTGTCCTTGGGAAAATGTTCATCTCATTGAGTACTTTATAAAAATAAAATAAAAAAAAGGCTAATTGTTGTACTGGAAAAGAAAAAGTAAACAGGAGAGAATTTTGATTGATTGGACCCTAAAAAAAATTTAATATTTTATTTCAATATTTTCTTGAGAAGCTGAAACCTTGATAACCATAAAAATAAGTTTTTGCATTTCTTTTGTTAGGGCTGAGAGGTTTTTGTTAACTACATATCTTATCTGATGTATTGTTAGTAAAAAGTTGATTGGATGTTTATGTGAACGAGACAGTTTCTGAAAATGATGCTTTTTTGGGATGAAGTTTATTAGAGATTTTAGTTCAGCCTATCGGTTCCATACTACTAGAGACTGTATTTTTTCCTTGTCGGATGTAAATAGTCATTTTTCGAGACTTTGCACTGCTTGTTGAATATATGGAATTATGCCCGTGCTTGGCCCCCCATTAAAATTTTAATTCATTTTTCTCCTCTTCTTATCAACAACGCATTCTCTAATAAAATAATATTATACGTGACCTCAAAATATATTCTTTTTTAGCCCTCGTTTGTCTCCCATTATTTATTCATTAAAATGAAAAATATGACTGTTATCTATTACATCAAGCACCATATTTGACTTTCTATCTCTTGTGTTGGATCCGTAACGGCTATATTTTTCATTCTCATTTTTACATTAATGTGTACCAAACGGGGCCTTAACCGCACATTCTTCGAAGAATTCTATTCCAAATACATTTTTCCCAAATTCTCATTATAATAGGGGCTAAACAAGGGCTATAATTATTATTATATGATACATTTCTATCTTCAGTTACACTAAATCATACTTTTACACTGTTCATTGAGCCCTTGTTTGGTTTAGCTAAAAATCAAATTTTTAGTAGATTTGTTTAGAAGATGATGAAATGTGTGGTTCAAAAGTTGATAAAAGTTGTGGATTCCATGAAATACGTAGTTGAAAATGAGTGTTAGAAAAGGGTGCCAAACAGGCGCTGAATAACTAAAATTGTCATTTTCTTAGACTTTGCATTGTTCATTTTATTGACATTCTGATTTCCAATTATATCACACTGTTCTGACTATATAGTTATAATAGATCATATCTTGTTTCTTGATCGAATTGATTCTGGTCTTGTAGTTTATTGTTTTAGTATTCTTCTTGAACTGCAGGCTTGGGGCCACTCCGCTAATGGAACTTATGATTGCTGCCGGAAAGGCTGTTCCTAAATTGCAGCTGGAACATGGTCTGGCTGTTGATAGAGTTTATACAGGGTCATTTATGACGTCTCTTGACATGGCTGGTATGTTAAGTCTGCTAGAGCTTGGAAAGACCTAATGCTTGTTTTGCCAAGCTTAAATATTTGCTTATAAGTCAATAAATAAGTTTTAAAAATAAATATTTCTTTGTTAGTCAAAGTTATTTTGAAAGTAACTATCATCTCACTGTCAAAAAGTCAAAATAAGCCCTTGTGTGGGAGAGATTATTTGGAAAGTCATTTTTTAGGACAATGTGTTGTAAAAAGTGAGGAAAAGTTATGGGGAAATGTGGAAAATGATATTTTTGGGGAATGTGGTAGAAAATGAGTGTGTAAAAATTTAATTTTCAAAAAATCACTTCCACACGTAATTTCAGTTTTATTTCTGAAAAAAGCACTATGTTTTTCATTTTAAGGAAAAAAGATCCAAATATCATTGTCAATAAGCATTTACTTCAAATTTAAGTCGCACTTTTAAGATTACTCAAACATGCTCCTAATTCGTTTGTGTGTACTGGACAGGCTTTTCCATCACTGTGATGAAGGCAGACGAAGCTATTTTGGACCGCTTGGATGCTCCAACTAAGGCTCCAAATTGGCCTGTTGGTGCTGATGGTTAGTAATTTGTCACTATATATGCATGCAAGCTCACGCTGGTGTCTCTTCCGAACTCCTGATGCTTTTGGAGATTGTTGCACTAATGATATATGTTGATAAGTCATTTTGCAACAAGTATTAGTAAACTCAGTTTATTATAAAAAATGGGTTAATTAGGTTTATTCAAAGTCTATTTTGCTTGCAGGTAACCGTCCACCTGCCCAGATTCCTGTTCCTGTTCCACCGTCGCGTACAACTAAGAATGAAGAGGTATGTCAAGGGTCATTATGTATTTATTACCAATTTGCCAAAATAGTTTTTGGAAACAATTAGGACTTCTTGAAGATAACCTCCCTTCCCAATTACCATAAGATATAGCTCTTTCATTGACCTTTCTTTTGACTGTGCACACTGTCCATGTGACACCCATGTAAGTGAAGATGACATTCATCCTCATCCTTGTTCTGCACAAAATCCTCATTTGTTATGTGAATATATCTCTAATTTCCCAGCATTGAAGTGTCATTAACAAGGATGGTGTTGGAGTTTGTCCCATTTTGATAAATCATAGCACCAATATATCCCAGACAGCCTCTCCACTCACTAATGGTTATTTTAAGTCAGATGACTCAGATCCTTGAGTAATTGTTTATCAATTTACATTTAAGTTAAGAATTATGTGCACTTCCAAGTCTTCTTATGCATTAAAATGATAAATATTTAGCTCCTGTTTGGCTCCATTAAAGTAAATTTTGGGGAAAAAGCTATTTTGGAATAGTGTTTTTTTTTTTTTTGGGGGGCAGAATGTGTGGTTAAAAAATAAAGAAAAGTTTTGGGTTTACATGTAATATTAGTTTATTGAAGAATGTGTGGTTGAAAATAAGATGAAAATGCATTTTTTCAAAAAATGGAGCCCAATCAGGGGCTTAATATCTGGCACTGTCATCCTTACATCGAAATTTGAAGCGTCTATGAGCTAAACCACACACTTCATGGATGAACAAAATGTATTTGCTTGCATTTCTATTTTTGATGCTGTGAATTTGGAAGGAAATATGATCTTTTATTGTGACAATCGCCTCAATGCTTACCTGCTTTATTTTTCCATTAGACATCGAATCAGCCCAAACAGCTTAGTCCTCTGGGTCATATTCTTGAGGCTGCTATTGAAGCAGCAGCAACTGCAGTTGTCAATCTCAGGGACAGTTTAAATGAATGGGACAGCAAAGTTGGTGATGGTGATTGTGGATCAACAGTAAGTACTGTGATTTCATATGTTGTTCCTCATGCTTTTCACAATGTGGTTGCACATTGTGCATAATCATAATTCCTTGACATGTTATAGATGTTCAGAGGTGCATCCGCTATTCTTGAAGACATAAAGAGGTTGTGAGTCATTTTTTCTGTTACCCCACCCCCCTTCCTGTCTCTCTCTCTCCCCCGAATATCGCATGTACGCTAATTGTCCTATTTGGACTTCACGAGTTTGGTCCTGATTCTTTTATGTTTATAGATGCAGACTCCTGTTCTTAAAATCATTTTGAACACAAGGGCAAGAGAACTATGGTCCTGTAGATTATTTAACTGGTCTTTGGTTTTGGTTTAGGTTGACGCTTTCTGAAATCATTACAGCCATTTTCTGTGGGATTTAATGCTTGACTTTTAATACAACTTACAAATATCCACCACTCATTCCTTGGATTATTCTGAAACGATAAGCCAGTTACCACTTACCATATTTCTTTTGATAATATCATTAAAATTGTTATTGCCATATTGTATTGCATAACTCAGTAGTAAAATCTTTTTTAATTCCAATTATGCATTGATTGTCACTGTGATCATGATTCAGTTTTGGAATGAAATTGATAAATGATTCATAGATGAGCTTAAACTTGTGTTGCCAGTAGATACGCAAAACACTAGAAATGCATTTTAACTCTAGGATATGGGGGGACTGTCTTCCAGTCTTTCTAGTATCACCAAGTAATTATAGGCACGATACAAGTTGAAAATTTTCTTTCAATGTAAATGCAGATTGTTAAAAATTATTGCACATTGGATGTGCTACTACACGCTAAGTTTGTCTATGATAATATGTTTGCACTTGTTTTTCTTTTAGTCATTTTTTGTTGATTTTTCCTTTGTTTATTATTATTATTATTATTATTATTATTATTATTATTATTATTATTATTATTATTATTATTATTATTGCCTATTCTATTTTTGTGTGTACAAAGATCATTTGCATTGACTAATAGTTCTTACTTTGTTTCTTTTGGAATTTCTACTTTTCCAGTTATCCACTGAATGATCCAGCAGAAACTGTAAATGAAATTGGATCTTCTATTAGGAGAGTCATGGGAGGAACAAGTGGAATCATGTACTATATGTGCCCGCTTCATTTTGAATAATACGGCTGCTGTAGTTATATATATATTGTTTTTCTTGATATCTGCAATAGTCATTTCTAAAGAATGATAACCCTGTATCTGTCTTAAAAACAGATATGATATATTCTGTAAGGCAGCATATACACAGTTGAAAGCTGATAGCCATTCAGTTATTACGCCCCTACACTGTAAGATGACTTAATGCTGCGATTTTTAGGTTTGCAGAGTTACATGTTTGGCACTGGGTAATTCAATGCTTCTTGATATAGGGGCTTTTGCATTTGAAGCTGCAATAGCTGCAGTCAGCAAATATGGTGGAGCCAGTGCGGGTTATCGTACCTTATTGGATGCTCTTATTCCAGCAGTGTCAGTTCTCAAAGAGGTTAGAAACGGTGATTACCATGTTTAGAGAGTTGATATTCATTCGGCTTCAGGCTTTGTAAACATATTTTAAGCTTTATGGACAGAAATTGAATGCTGGAGATGATCCGGTTGAAGCATTTGTTCTCTCTGCTGAAGCAGCAGTTGCTGGTGCTGAATCAACTAAACACATGCTGGCACAGGTAGCACTCAGAGACCTTTTCTGACATTGTTTTTTCCGTTTCAAGCATGTTTGGTTAATATATTTCTTTTATTGATTAAAGTTGGAAAGTAAGTTGCTTATCTTGACACTGAAGTAAGAGTTACAACCTAAATAACCCTTTTTCTTTTCAACTTAAAATGTAGGAAAAAGTAACATCCAAACAATCATGGAAACAAAAGTATCTTTTATCGTTGTCAAGCTTAGCCAAACATGCATTCTGTATTGGACTAAATTTTGGATTTGCAGGCTGGCCGTTCTTCATATGTCTCAACTGATATTCTTGCGTCAGTTCCCGATCCGGGAGCCATGGCTGCATCTTCATGGTACAAAGCAGCAGCCTCAGCCGTAAAGGATAAATACCGGGCTTCATGAGAACATATATCTCGTGGTAACCATTACATTCTTCCGGCTATGTTTTTGTTTTCGAGGAGGAATAAACTCGTAAAATTTTGTTCGTAACGAAAACAGTCCTGACTTAATGAAGCTTTCCGCTTATGCAGTCCGTGCATAAAGCAGAGAGAGCAGCAGTATTATATACAGTCGTATACTAATTGAGAATGGTATACATACCAGCTCCGTTGTAATACTGAATTTATTATCGAAATTTGGCAGGGACCATTATGATCTGGACATAATTTCTCTGCGTTTATTTTAGATCTGTTATCCTAACTTTTCATTAATACGAAAAATGTAGCATTGATCTTAAAGATTCTATCTTCCTCCCAAGTGAAAAGCATGATGTGGTTAAAATGTCTCTTCTAGAAAGATGGGGTTGAAGCTTATACTCTGCCTCAAACTTGACGTGTAAAAAGTAAAAGTAGTGTAATATTCTCTTTTTTGACGAATAAGAATTGTCATCAAGTAAGAGTGAATAAGGTTTTAAGGCCCCTGCGTTGTATTTCTTTTTTCTTGATCTCTAATATGAAAGAAGGAATCTATCCATCCGTAGACCATGAATTGTGCCTGAATTCTTGATTTGGGTTCCTCTAATAGAGATCCAGTCGATTTAGGGTTTGTCATCTTCAAGTAAAAGCAAACAGGGTTTTATGGCATGGTCGTTATATCTTTTATTTTTTTCTTTTTCTCTTACATATGGAAAGAAGAGATCTATCCATCCTTGGACCGTGAATCATGCTTGAATTCGTGATTTGGTGGAAAACTGTTCGTTACTCGAATTTGAAGCGCGGTTGGAGCATTATTTTACACCAAACTGGCATTTAACGCCCATTTGAAGTTGGGTTGGAGATGCCGAAGTTGTTTAATAATGAGTTGTGATTAGGAGCGAAATGCTACTTAAAGGACTTCATGACCAATAGCCATTGTAAGATGATATATATTGGTCATTTGTCCACAAACCTTAATTTTAAATGAGAAGATCAAGTGAAGAGACGATGTTCCCTAATTGGCAGCCATGAAAGCGTAATAAGATAGAAGAGGGAAAAAAACCACTTATTTGATTATTATGGTGAACATGAATACTAGATTAAAAAAGAAAAGAAAACGAAAATCTCTCACTTTGTTTCTCTCCACTGATGAGTTGGATTGGATACATTGGCATTAGATGCAGAAGTGAAGAAAGAATTCTTGTGATTATGCATCCACACTTTGAAAACTTTCCTACTAATACCAACCCCTTTGCAGAACCTTTCTATTTCATCTTCTTTATCTTTTCTCTGCAGCTTCCATCCCAATTTCTCCGCAAATGCCAGCATTTTCTCTTTCTGATCTTCTGTAAACTTTGTCCTAATCCTTTTCTTCCCACTCCGTTCCGACTCTGGAGATTCCGGTATCTGCCTCCTGCCGCAGCCAGTGCCACCACCATATTCTACCATCTCGTGATCATGACTGCCGCTTGCACCACACGTGACCTTACGATGGAAGTTACGATGGCAGCCACATGCAGCACAGTATAGACTGCCGGAGGAAGTGTCATCAAGCGTAAATTCTCCGCAGCCGTCGGTGGCGTAGCTGCCAAGGCTGGCTGCATGGTTTCTTAGGCACTCCTTGTATATGTCATTTGTGTTCTCTCCTTCCATCTCTCTCTCTCTCTCTGCTCTCTATATTCTCTTGCTATATGTGTGTATATATATGTGTGATTTGAGGAAAGTGATATATGGAATGCAATCGTGGTAACAATGATTTACAACTATATATATGTGGACTCGACAATTGACAGCACAATGTATGCTTTTTCTGTTCATAGTACCAAGGAACAAAAATCCCTATAAATACTATTTAGAAGTTGTGGGAACATTTTATGATATCCATGTTGTCGTAATTAATTAATTAGTTAATTAATAGTTGCAATAAGTTATGAACAGTTTCATGAACCCATAACCATGGTAGTTGGTTAATTATGTACTATTTTTTCATACTTCATTACGTACCAATAGAAGGTCAAAGGAAAAGAAGCAAGAACGTAGGTGATTTTGTATCGAGCTCGGTTGTTAGGAATGAAATAAATGACGATCCAGAATGTCAACGTCTTGAATGATTGAGAGCCTTGATCTAAGATCAGGTGCAGGTCGTAATCCGTACTGTACTTTGACATTATAGGGCTCCACAATAATCGTGTCACCTAAAATTCCTCCATAGTCTTTATCTATATGATGAAATCATGCATCTCATTGTACCGAACTCATGCCTCTCTTGTTTATTCTAATTATTCAATGTAACGTGTTAAATATGTCATTATAAATTAACTTAAAAGTTTTTGAAACGTTGCTCAACGTTGAGGCTAAATTATATAAATCAAATTGGGGATAGTTGATGTATATTTTAGGTAAAGAACACTAGTGATAAAAGAACGACAATTACCCATTCTTAAAATCAACGTTTTTAATAAGATTAAAGAGTCGAACAAAATAGGATAAAGTTCTCATTCAAATTAAATGATGATGCTATAACAATAGTACATAAATGAAGATGTGGTATATTAATTTTGAATTAACTTAATAAGTTGGATTTCACAATGAATAATTTATCAACTTTCAAACTTCAACTTTAATCACAAATTTCACGAGGCTCACATATTTTATCAATTTTTTTGGAAATCTGCTAAATTTATTTATTAGTAGCTAGCTTTGTCAAAACAACCCCTAGTTGTTATAACTATACTTTGTCATTAAATAGGACAAAAAATTGTTGATTTAGAAAATCTATTTGAAATGAAATACATGCAATTATAATAGGGGACAAGTATGATATAAAATAGTTTCCCCCTCTCTCATTTGGACGTGACACATGAAGTGATGAATGAAAAAATGGTGTAAAATCAATGTATCTGCAGTTATTGTTATAAACTATTACCAGGCACCAGAGAGGCTGGAGAGTCAGCTTTGTCCCAGTTCATGAACATAAATATTCTGTCTAATGTATCTACAATGTCTACTTGTGGCTGACTCACTCAATATATAATCAAATAAATAAATTTAGGCCTTAAAGTTTTTTCCCAGATATTAAAAATATATATGTAGAGTAGAATTCATCTTTAAAAATAAATAAATTAAGAATAGACGTTTGAATGTTTATCAGTTAATTGCAAGCCAAATATTTATGATGTGAGACTCAATTAAGATAGTTGCAATTTCAACTTCCTAATTGATGGCTAAATCAAATGATGGATTACATGCTCCCCCCAATTAGAAAGGATGAGAAGAGAAATTAGATTGATTGATATGTCTCGCCTTGTTCAAAATCTCCAACTATTAGACACAATATCTGCAATAAACTATACGAATCATAGAAATAATTTCAAAATAACACGGGTTAAGGTTGGCCTATAAAGAGATGGCTTATGTCGAATGAGACCATACTTTTCACCTCTGTTCTTACTTCTTGTATGCAATGCAAGTCATTCTCAGATATCAACTAATTTGAGACCCCAATTCTATTTTTTGATACGAGTCTTGATGAAACCAACTACTTGCTTTGCATTCAAGATCTTGTAAGTGCATCTCCAATGCATGCCAAATTGCACCAAATTGCAAACTTCCTCCAACCATTGCACCAAATTTTGGTGCAAAATGATGCAACATGAATAGTGTTGCACCATATTTTGTTCAACACTATTCATTACACCAATTTTTTGCACCAAATGGTGTAACGTCCGTTTTGCCCTTATTTTTCATTTTTCAAAGATAATGATTAAGGGTATTTGTGTCATTTTCGTTCTATGATGATGATAATTAATTACACTATTAATTATATTATTAAAGTTTATTATTTTTAATAATATAATCAATAATAATTAACGTANATTGTTTATCATAAATTAATAATATAATCAATTATTTTTGTCAATTTAACATAATATATAAAACACGTGAATAATTTAGTAATAAATATATTTGTTAATTTAACGAAGTTATGATTTAGTAATTTATATAGTTTAAATAAATATTTTTTTAAAATAAATACATTGTCAAAAATCGAAATAATGAATAAAATAATAAAGCAATGTTTATTTGGTATAAGTTTTGGTGTAATGATTAGAAAAGAATTTTGGTTTGGTACAAGATTTGGTGTAAAATAGTGCAAATTTTGGTGCAACGCTGGAAATGGTCTAAGATGTCAAAGGATTGCTGCTTTCATAGATGTAGGGAAAAGGTCAGTGTTCGTTACACAAATTATTTTGTGTCATTTTGTTGAATCACTATTGTCTTATTTATCCTCAATTGTATATTATTTTTAACATTTGTTTGGTATGGATTAAAATCATATTTTTAATAGATTTTGATAAAAAAAAAATTGATAAAATGTGTAGCTGAAAAGTTGTAGTGTCAATGAAATAAATAATAAAATTATTGTTAATTTTGACTTGGAAATCTAATAGATTTTGATAATAAAAATAAAATAAAAACTGATAAAATGTGTGATTAAAATGTGGTAAGTTCAATGAGATAAATGGTAAAATTATCATTAATTTTGATTAAGATTAAAATATAGATTTTAATCCTAACCAAACACAGTCTTAATATGTTTAGGTTCATTATGCTCATTTTTAAGAACATTTTGTCTTATATTAATCCAATTATCCCTCTCTATATACAAAATAAATCAAGAGAAGAGGTGTGAAGAGTATGGGAGAAACTCACTAATGAACGTAGGGAACATGCAGAAAGTATTTTACTACACCAGCCACTTCGTTTATGTACTTGTAAGAGAAGTGAAATTAGTTGGTTTAAACTTTTAGAGACATGATATATTTTTTATAGTCAATCTGTACCAAACAACAGTTAAAAAATGAAATAACAGTCAAAAAATTGATTTTAATTGACTTAAAATCTGCACTACACAAGCACATATTTATAGTTAATCTTTACTATGCTCCCGTGTACATAGGAGGATACTCATTTCTATCAAAAGTCGAACATGCGAGCAACTTAAAATTACTTTATCTAGAAGTTTAAAATGTCAAAAGAGGAATGTGTATTCTATTTTATTTATTTTAGAGTACAACTTATATTGTATTTGTCTGATAAAATTTCTCTAAAATTGTATTAACTTTTCAGCTAGTCAAACTATGATCAAATATTTCGCGGGATTCACAATTTTTTTTAATATCAATTTTCAACTAGATAATTCATCAATCTTTATAAAAAACCGTAAAAAAATCTCATCGTCATCAAATCATGACCATCGTTGTCCCATAGAAAACGATATCCACTCCAACACATCTTCCCGTGCAAGTAGGGATCGAGATTTTCTCCTTGCACTTCATGTAATTATGATGTTTACTAAAAATTCTTTTTTATACAAAGTTAGTTAAGGTAAAGCGTACAATTTTCTTGTTGCTTTGCTGCCTTGTGAGATTTCATATTTTTGTGGAAGTCTTCAAAAAGAAGTGCTAAAATCCATGAAATGGACAAAATAGTGCTACCCGTGTCATTTTCAAATTTTCAAATCAATACGTCCACTGGCCCAATTTCATTTTTTTTCCCCATTTATTTCTAGTGGGATTTAGGGTACACTTGAATTAAAATTTAGAGGGTGTGTTTGAAATGCTCCATCTATAAAAGTTTTGGGACCTTAGCTGCAAATTATCCTTTCCGTTTGTAACAGCCACGAGTTCACGGTCTTTCTTTCCTTCTGTGCAAGAGGCAAATTCTTGAACTTGAACCAGTTTGATTGCAATTTTAAGCGAAATTCGCAGAGTAAACCTAAATTTCATCTTTTTCTTGCAAAAGGAAGCCAAATTACAGGCATTGGAATGTGATGATTTCCGTACTGCTGCAATCGCCGGCGGTCGCTGTGGCTGCGGCTTCAGTGTCCAGCCACCGCAGCCTTCGCCTGCCTCTGTTTAACATTCCATCAATAGACGACCACCACCACCAGCAACGACCACAACGGCTTAGTATGAGGCGGAGGTTTGGAGGCCGCGTTTTTGTGAATAAGGAAGACACTGGCACTGAAGTGAGCACCACTAATTCCACTCCATCTTCCACAGAAAAACAAGAAATAGACCAAGAGCCAACACCACAAGAAGAAGACGGTGACCCAGATCCTCAGGACCTTGAATATGTTTCCCAAATCAAAAGAGTCAGTAACATTCTTCACTTGAATCCCAACTCATTTTACTTTAGTTTTTTTTTATGTTCTTCATATTCGTTTGTGTAGGAAATTTACTAGTCAAGCTTTTTCATCCAGGTTTTGGAGCTTCTTAAGAAAAACAGAGACATGCTCTTCAATGAGGTATTTTTAGGAAGTGAAATTTAAGTGTTTAATTTTTTCCACCCTTCCCTGCACTATTATTTTACTGTATATCGTTATATATTGCCTCTTAAGTGGGGTATTAATTTGACAAACTATGAGAAGAATTCTATGCTGATTTGCAGGTTAAGTTAACTATATCGATTGAAGACCCCAGGGACGTTGAGAGGAAGCGTTTGCTTGGCATTGACGATGAAAATGCTCCCACCAGGGACGAATTGGGTGCTGCTTTAGTGGAAGTAATTCACATCTTTATGCACTTCAGTGTACTTTATCTACAGCCAAACCTGCATGTCTTTCTAGAAAAGAGTGCTTTTTGTGCAGCCTTGGTTTTATAATTGTCATAGGCTTAGAGAATTCTTGAATTGACGGAAAGTCATGCCACCATTTTTACACAGTTTTGCCTTGTGGATCTCAAACTACAGAGTGTTGTACAAATCATTCTTTAGGTCAGCTCATAAGGTTCATATATTAGAGTCTTCAAGACTTGGCATAGGAAAGATGTATTACTTATTAGTCGAGACAAAGTCATAATTCCGTCGAAATGAACATTTATTTAAATGTAAAGCGATCTGCAACAACACTTTGATTGTTTGTGTGTCAAGAAATTACCTTGTTGGGATAACCACTAGTTCTTATCATCTAACTTTGAATGCATGAATGCACATCCATTTATAATTATTATGACCATGTTTAAGTTCATGTTTGACAGAGCTTTCGTTTTTCTTAGGTAAATGAAGGTAAAATTCCAAAAGATCGCGTTGCTTTGCAGATGCTTGCTGAAGAAATGATGCAATGGCCTAATTTAGAGGTACTATTCTCGCTGTCAACACTTTGTAATTATGAAAGACCACTTGTTGTGAAGTCGTAAAGATAAACCCAATATAATATTATTGGCGTTAAGGTCTATGCTCATAAATCACAAGTAACTATTTCCTGCTGTCGAGATATGCTTTTATGACTGGTGTTAATGGGGGAAACCTATTCACAAAATTTCCCTCATGAAGTCATTTAACTGTGCGCAAGCTTGCGGAACCCATGGATACGAGTACATGTGATATTTTCTGTATATAAATGCACGATTGCTTGCAAGAGAACTAAATTAATGAACTTATTCTTCATTGAATACAAGCTGATCACCACCATCTCATCTGCCCTTTCTACGTGTAACATGCATATTAGGCGTTTGGATAGATAGTACTCATATATTGGATTCCTGCCGCGTTGAGTTTTTTATTGTGAGAATTCTGTATAAGAACGATCATAATCAAGGTCCAGAATATTCCCGGCAACCTGTATATAAGTAAAAAAATGTGTCGCTAAAAATCTGAATTTCGAGATCCTTGCCTATTTCTCAATGCTTGTGCACAAAGTTTCTGATTCAATAAAAGCATCTTGTATCCCAGTTTGATAGTGCCAAAACATATCCTATGTATCTGGACTGTATTGCTCTCTTTCTTTCTCCAAGCAAAATGTGTATTGCTCTCTTTATTTCTCCAAGCAACATGTATTTACTCCCCCCCTATTCACATTTATAGATATTCTTTCCGCGGCATTTGACCTTTTTCTTTGTCCTCTATAGCAGCTACATAGTGCATTCTGGTTTTATCCAATGTTGCCTTGTGGTCAACTATAACATTCCAGGTGTAATGGATCTCCTCAAAATACATTTTTTTTTCCTTTTCTTTTCGTGAATTTTTGATAGGTTGAAATAACACCAAAGAAGAAACGGCCTGGAAAATCTTTATATGCAAAAGTCACAGACACTGGTATTGATCCAAGAGAAGCTGCCAAGAGACTGAATGTTGATTGGGATACAGCTGCAGAGATCGAGGATGCTGAGGCTGATGAAGTGGAAGTGCCATCGGCCGTGGTTGGTTTCCTCTCCTTACCTAGATATTACTGCTTAAAAGCATGTTCCTGTGTCGACATTTTTACTGTCTTACTCTTACGCATATAATGAAATGAAAAGTTATAGAGGAAACTGATTGGAAGGTAGTTGTTTGAATGCAGGGATATGGAGCTTTATACTTGGTTACAGCATTTCCAGTGATTATTGGCATCTCCGTAGTGCTCATTCTATTTTATAATTCTCTCCAATAAAAGAATTTTCAAAGAATGCCTCCGTTGTGTTGTAATAAACTCAAAGTTTGAACATGGTATAAATATTATGCGTTCATAGGCATCTCTCTGTACTGTTTTTCCGTCTGTCAATTTCTGATGCAGATAGAAAAGCCTTTTTTTTTGGGGGGGGAGGGGGAAGGAATTACAACTCATAAATGATTTTCTTCCACTTTATTCAGCTCAATCAAATTTTCTTCTTGGCTTTCACGGAATTAGCTTTTGGTTTATAAACAAAAACAAGTGAGATAAATGCCATCAAGTTGGAAACATGGAACCAGTACTGCATCACAGTGCAAATTCGACTAAAATTTATAGAAAATTCACATTTCGAAATCCATTTGCTAGACAAAACGAACTAAAGGCACATTTTGTGTTTAATACAAGACAGAATTAGTCTGCAATAAATAAAATTTTAATTTCTTTAATACTGTTCCAACATCGTACTGACTACATTGTTTCTGAATAAATTTTTCAAGTTCAGCATTGGTACAACAGTATTTTAGAATCACCTCCATCCTAAGACTACCAGATAATGAGCAAGCAATCCACAAACCCTTATCAGTAGCATTTTTTAGGCCTCCTTTTCTTATTCTCGAATATCTTTTCATAACTCGAAAAAGATTCATGTCTTCGACTCCTGAGTTTCTAACAATCGGCTAAAAGACTCCAAAAAATGTGGCAACAGCAAATCCTAAAAATAAAGCTCCTCCCAAGTATCCAACCTGATTCAAAACAATCGTCAGATCAGATGTATACTTAATTTAAAAAATAAAAAAATAATTAAAAAAATCATTCCTGGTAGATTTTTTTCTTTCGTGGTTTTACCAGTTTTTCAGAAATGTAATTAGCAAGAAATGCGCCTCCAAGAATCGCAAAAGATGTAGCAAGCAGGTGTCCAACGATGGCTCCACTTGCGACTCCCCATGGAGACTGGCCAATAAAAGAAAATATAAAAACAGCTGAGATTTTTTAGACACAGAAGCACAGAATGAAATACGGCTATTATACCTGTGCTGCGCCTAGAGCAATCGTTGCAAGCATTGAACGATCTCCCCATTCCTAAAAGCAAAAGTAGCACGGAGAAATCAACCCGTGTGTTTCAGAAAATCTAAACCTCAACAACTTATACTTAAGTTTAACCATTTTGGATTAACAAAGTATATCAAACAAAGGCCATGACATGTGCCTCAAATTGTGTGATGACAGATCAAATCTTTGAGAATTAATTGGCAATGGAAATGCCATTGAAATAGTTTGATCTCTAGCTTAATTCCACAACCATTGTGATTGTATTTCTGTCCTCCTTACAACCAAACCAAACACACGGGGAAAGAATGAAAGAAAGAAAGATATAGATAATAATGTTGCCACCTCGCAACAAACTAAGATTTTATAAAAAGAGAAGTTCATATTCACGAAATACTTGCAACACTAACTATTCTTTAACCGGTAAAATGGATTTTGCACTCTTTCAAATTTAAAAAGATGGAGACAAAAGAACGGTGAAAATGCTCACAGCGAAGAATACAAGGCTGAATGACTTCGACACAATTTCAAGTGGATTTGAGAGTCGTTTTGATACCTGAAAGCATCACAGATCGATATTGTTAAAAAATAATTTAGGGCAAACATTTTTTTCCCTAGGGTCAGAAAGGGGGATTGGGGGTGGGTGCACTGAAAAGGAAACACGAGAAATATGCAATCTGGAAAGCGAAACTTAAGCTTAAGAACATAATCCCATGAGAAAGGCTTACATTTTCTTTCACAAGCTCCTCAGCTTCAACAAATTCACCGCTACCTTGGTCACCAGTTTTAGCTACAGTGGATGGAAGGTCCCATGCATCTTTAATTGATCTGAGGCCAAAGAACATCAGAAGGGCTATAGCAGCATATTCTCCAATTGGCAAGGCTGCATTTATGAGAAGAATGGCAAACAGAGATGTGTCACAAATTGGAAAAATTTTGAAGCCAATTAGTCAGTCATTATATCCTAAAAATTATTTGTTCAATGAATGTATGTTGATAACACGGACACAAACATGAAACTCAGAACTCACTTGTTTGAAATTGAGCAGGTACTGAATGAAATATTCGTCCAATAATGACAGACAGGACAGTCATTAGTGATAGTGCCCCCATTGATCCCAGAAGGACCTAATCATAATCAATAGCACTAAATTTGTCAGGATCGCGTTAATGCAAATAAATTTCACTTCTACGCAAGATGAAACAATACTTCATGCTTATCAGTATGACTAAATATAAATCCATACATGAAAAATACAACTTATAAAATTGACCTGTAAGTTTTCTTCTCTTGCATTCTATATTCAAAATAATAAAATTTTTTTTTTCAGAAATACTGGGTTAGTAGCCAATCCTGATGCAGCACCAATAGGATGATTAATAGAAAAAGAAGATAGATTCAGAAAGAATATGGAATTAAGGAGGGTGGAAGAAGAAGAATTTAACAGAAGAAGGCAGAAGAAGGAGAGGGATGCGCCATAAGCCACCAAATAATTATTCATTCATCAATTGTCCATTACACGATGAAAAAGATTTAAATAACAAAAACCTAAAGAGAGAGAGTCAAGTCCATAAAGAAATAACCCAACTAAAATAAACAAAATAACAGTCCAACTAAAATGAAACAATAAACTTGATGTCACTTAAAATAAATAATTGGATGTCCTCATCAAATCCTATTCCCATTCACAAGAATTAACTAAAAAATAGTTGGGGCAATTAGGATTCTATCTTGACTACCAAAACCTCCTCCTTTATTACTGTAATTGCTATTTATCTTTGAATTTGTACTAACACGAGTTACCGTCTCATTTGGTAATGCACCATGCTCCTTGTCATTGTCCTTGCATACCCAAAGGAGACGGGCATATATATCACTCAACGAAGATAGTGCTTTACTAGTAAGTAACTGAGTACGAGACACCTCATATTCAGGACCTAAACCTACAAGAAAACATTATACCACAATCTGCTCTTCTTGTTCATACATTGTCTTCACATTACTAGTAATACGAAACATGACCTGCTTTTCTTCAAATGCCTATTTTATATAAGTATAATATTGAAAGAGATTTCGCCCCTTTTGCTCTGTCTGATAAATCTTTAACATCAGTTCATGAACATGCGACACATCCTGTTTACTCATATATAAAAATTCTAGATAGTCCCACAATTCTTTTACAGTTTCACAATGATTGATGACATCGTCAATTGTCGGATAAAGGGTATTTTGAATTTGATCAAAGAGTTTATCATCCTCCATCAGCCTTTTTTTTTCGAATTCTAGGATTAGTATCAAATTGTGATGGTGAGTAATCAATCAATTGATCACCCAAATCCAAACTTGGCACATACCAATGGACAATTCTCTTCCATTGAGCATAATTCCTACTACTCGTTAACTTTACTTGAGATTTTTGAGGATGGGGTTACTGTGATTTCATTCACCACTTTCTTATCACTTTTGACCATAATTTGATAACTAGAAAATACACGAAAGGAAGAATGTCCAAAAGGGATGAAGGCCCAACCAAACCAAAATCAGTCAACTTCCCCTACAGCCCAAATCAGTTCATTGGTCCAATTGAATCACCTGTCGGAGAAAACCTATACAATGAAGCCAAGAAGTCACCCACATGTGACTCCAGTTACTGATCGCTATATGCACTAGCAGCGAGAGGTGTCGATAGTCACACTGAAGCAAACAAGAATCCTCTAACCAAAGGAAACGTAAGGCAGAATCACACAATGGCCTTGGACACTCGTTGCAAAGTAGTTTCCACCACCACCGAAGCCTAAGGCAGAATCACACAACGGCCTTGGACGCTCATTGCAAAGTAGTTTCCACCACCACAGAAGCCTCTTCTGATCTTCACCCACCAAGCAGTGACCCAGGTAAGTGTTGGTTTATCGCCAAAAGTACCAACCCAAACTTTTGCCACCATCGAGAGCAACCCACAAAATTTCTTTTTCAGAAACTCACAAACCCTTGCTCTGATACCAGTTTACTTGATTTGGGAAATCTCAATTTTCTTATGTTATTCATCAACAGGTGACACACATATATATACATACAAAGGATATTTCTCAAAAGGAAATATCCTCTATCATAAGGAAATATTCCAGACTTATACACCTATCATATATCTATCAAATTCATACCTGCATTAACACATTCAGTTCATAACCAAAGTTAAGCTAATCAAACACATTTCATTGACAATTTCCATGCAAATAAGCTTATTTCTATGTAAGTTCCATGACTGCAATCAAACATTCTTAGTTTTTCCGTTCAAATTTTCTGCTCCTCTTGAACATGTTGACAGCATGTTGGGTAAATTTAGCCTTCAAATGACAAAAAGAACAAAGAGCTCCCACAAAAGGTAAACTAGAAACATTTCAAGCACAACTTAGACTACTTTGTATGAGAAAAATCACAAGGAAAAATAAGAAATTTTTTTTACATGTTTGGTGCATTCTATTGACCAGGATTTGACAATACAATGAACAAGATTTAACTCATTTTTCATCTTTAATATTGTCCCGTAACATCCAATCCAACTTATCAAACATGCTATATAAGCTGGAAAAACATTCACGAGAAACAATAATGTTTGGAATTATTAGGATATCAGAGAGAGGCAAAGGTCACAAGAGAGTGGGAGGGCAGAGGAAGGAATAATTCATACCAGTAGTTTCTCATATTGCATGGCCAACAATGCAGCAATGAAAAATGTCTGTTAAAATGAGCATTAAAAGATTAGGTATAATGCATATAAAGATTCACAACAGGAGTGATCTATGAAGGCAATCTAAAGAAAATGGTATCAGAAAATAAAAAGAAAAGAGATGAGAAAAATACTAATGTTTGAATATTCTGTCAAAGATTTATGTATTTATTCTGTCAAAGCCTTAACTCAGAATTTTAGTTGGAAATGGGAGAAGAAAACTAAAAAACTACTTTGCAAAGTGCTTCAACTTATTCCAACTAAAAATAAAAATAAAATAAAATGGCAACTAGAAAGAATAATGATAAAAGTAGAGAGAACTTTAGCCAACTAAAATTTCAAAGTAAAAGTCATAAGACTTATTTTGAAATTAACTCTTCCCTTAAAGTCAAAATAAGTAAATTATTTCCAACTTTGACCTACAAACAAAATTATATATTATAGGACTTACTCATTTACTTATAAGTGAACTTTTTAATCTTGGGCAAACATTCTCTTCATATATGTGGACAAAAACAACATAGAAACGTCGTCTTTATGAAATATTTTACCTTGTCCCCAATCTCGGAAACAAATATCAAGGAGAATGCAGCCGTGAAGCCTGACTTTGCAATTGCTGCTAAGAGTGTTGAAGGTCCTTTCATGAAAGTAATCAGCGAAAATACTAAAGCACATCCACATAGCACAAGAGCTATAGAGAGGAGATACAGAATCTGATTAGGAGACTTCTCACTGCAATTCAACAAAGATATTATAAATAAGTCTTGGATTGGGATTCAGAGAGCTTCTCCTTTGGTCCATGACCCCAGAAATGGCATTTATACATCAAATAACAAGGTTTCTATGCACATGCCAAGAAAGTAGAAGCAGAATAGGATGGGAGCAAGTTTAAATAAGCTTAAAAGGAAGTAAAAATTGCTTATAAGCTTCTTTTTTGCTGAATAAAATTTTAAAAGTAACTTATTCAGCTTGGCCAAAGATTCTCCATAAGCATTGGAGTCATGGCAATCTGATATTTTTCTGGGTGAATACTTTAGCCTGATGCTTAAATCTACAAGATAGGTTTTTTGTTCCTTAGAAATGATTTGCACACGTATAATTTGATGTCAAGAAATACGGTAAGATCACTGCTACATTTTTATTTTTATTTTTATTTTTTTTTTAAATTCTCAACCCAACATTAGTACATAGTAGCCCATTTATAGCAAAGGAATGAATCAAAAAGAGAAAGGCCCAGATGAATATAGTGTACTTTACCAAAAAAAGGAATAGAAAAATCAAATATGTACATCGGAATCATGTCTTCCGACTCAAATAATCAGTCCAGTAGTACTGAACATAATTTTTCCTGACAATGCAAGGATATATAAAAGGTACTCAAAACTATAAAACTGTGACCTTCAAAAATTAATAATCGCTGCTTAAATTCATGCATGCCGGTACTCCATGTGAACTTTATCTACTAAGAATCAGTTTTTTCTGAAATTACTTCGAGGTCTAAGAAGAGACTCAGAAACATTTATATCATCTCAGTCTAAATCATTCATTGTCAAACAATAATTCATTTTCAAGACCATTCAAAGTTAAATTTGATAATTTCAAATTATATCGAAACTAAAGGAAAGTTGCCTTTGACAATGAATTATTGTCAAACAATAACTCATTTTAAGAATCATTCAATATGAAATTATTAATTTCAAATTTTAGGGAAACTAAAAGAAACTTACCTTTGAGACGAAATATCACCAGGTGTTCCACTGACAGAGAAATTTTTGTTGTCATTTTCCTGTCTCCCTTCAGAGTCGCCAGATCCTGTACCAACATTCAACGCATTTGTTTTGATAGCTCTGCGCCCCGCTTGCATCCATTGCGACTCTCTACATTGCACTAAACAAGGAAATTATCAGTCAACACAACAATACAACAACAACAATAACATACTAAGCCTTTTCCTGATCAATTTTGGGTTGATAAAAAAAAAAAAACAAAGATAAGTTTTGTGTAGAGCATGGATTGGAACAGCTCAAGTAGAATGTACACAGAAGTCAAAAGAACAATAGAAAGTATCAAATCCATTAGATCAGCAGCCCATCTAGGAATTAGACGACTTCTTTACTTTTTTTCCAATGTGTAAGCAGGAAGTAATTTCACAACTTCATCCATAAAAGTACAACAACCATTTCTTCAAAGTTCGAACTATTATATGAACTCTACCAAAACATTGTATAGCATTGTCATAAGACAGGTAAAGACCATTTGAAATATTGAGAGAGAGGTTCCACTAGTTTCCGTTTTCTTTTAGTAAAAACAAATCGGAGTATTGAATTTAGAAGGCAAATAATCCGCAATACAAGACACCTTCCAATGATAAATAGAATTCCAGACCTTTATGTCAGTTGAATTCTTTCGATAAACAATCCCACCTATGCATAAGATAACCCAAATCACTCGACGATACTGATCACACGAGTAAATTCACAAGAATGCCTTTTGTTCTATACAATACAGAATGTCAAAATAACTCTTTCCAGTTCATCATACAACCATAAGAAGTTATCCAACTGTTTCTCAAATAACATTCAAAGTAACGATCCAAGTTCCGATCTACTGAAGAATCCACCCCAAGTAGAAAAAAAGAAAAGGTAAATTTTGAGGCATAAAAATACAAGGGCAGAAAAACGACACAAAGATTCTATCTTTATCAAATTTCTAGTTGAACTCTGGGAAAACAAAAAGAGCATAGAGTGGACTGAAGGAGTACTTACATGAACATGAAGATGATGTAATACATCTTCTTGGCACCAAAGAGCAAAAGGGAAATGAATTGCTCAACACGAAAAAGGGTGGAAGCCTTTTCTTGTTCCCTTTTCTTGTTGCAATTAAAATTTGAGGTGTTTGTATAGTCAGAATTTGCATTTTGCCACTTCAGAAACTGTTTTCCTTACAAAATCTTCATGCCCATTACACAAAATTGGGACTTAAAATGATAGTAATAAACTAAGAACTAGCAAGAAAAGGAGTGGACAATTGTGATGAGTTTGAGGTGTGAAGGGGATATAGGCGTGTGTCCGGTTTGCTTCGACGGGGATCTCCTACCCTCCTGTTTCTTTTTGTCCAATTCCTGAACTTACGTTTTTTATCACGAGAAGCGCGACTTTTTCAGAACAATATTTTGAGTAACCAGGAGAGTTCAATACCGCGAGTTTAGTTGAAAATTGAAACTGAAGAAGATTGACTGAAAATAATTGCTTTACGAGTACGGTTAAAACATACAAATTTGAGCCCCCCAAAAATTAGGACTAAACTTACCAATGACCAACTAACTTTATATTTAATGTCATCATGATCATTTTATTTTATTTTATTTTATCATGACCAATTAACTTTATATTTAGTATGACCATGGTCGACTAATTTTATTTTATTTTATCAGGACCACCTAATTTCATATAAAATTTCACCATAACCATCCAACTGCATATAACATTCACTATGACTACCCAACTTCTTTTCATAATTTACACTAATTTTAAAAGGGGGAAATATTAACTTTGCTTATATATAAAAAATAAATTTTAAAAAAAAAAGTAAAAACTTATCCCTCTCAAATTATCTGAGTTTTTATAAGTATACAGAAAATGCCTTACAGACAACCGTTTCCCTGTATAAATTTTGTAAAGCATTTTTTGGTAAGTGTAGCACTTCTCAAATTATTATCAACCAAATATTTCATTTGATCCAGAGTTTTTATCTATTTTTAATTACACGTTCTTCCAAAAAAAAATCAACTTTCATAAAAAATTCTGTTTAAAAATTGAATTAAAAAAATATCAGTGGACAAAAGCAGGCCCGGCCCATCCAGGACTAGACTAGACAACAAAGCCATGTTCAAAGCTGGGCCGTGCATTGACATAAGATGTAGTTAGGCCTAA